CTTCTTCTTCATGTCCTTGAAAATCTACTCCAAACATTTTCCCCAATTTGATCATATTTTGGTGGACCCATATTGTTGCATCCATGTCTTTATCCAGTGATGGAATGTGTTGCTGAACTGCTATAGGAATCACCTCCTCGATTTCCCACTCTTGAATAGAGCTAAGTTGCTTTAGGTGTTCCACAGTGCTTCCCACATGTTCATTCCCCATCTCTGAGTTTATGCTTTGCTCCCCTTCCTTCTGTTCCGATCTTGCCCAATCTGCTCCTCCATCTGACTGATTGCAACTGATAATTGTTTCCTTTTGCATACTTTCGAGATTCACATTGAGGGTTTGGTCCCCTGGAGAACTCTTTTGCCCCTGAGTAAGAAGGCCCTCCCATTTCGTCGATATAAGGCTTCCGCCCAATATCATCAGAGATCTCACACGAGAGGTCATTAAAAATGACTTGTGCAGCCATATCGTGACACTTTACTGCTCTGATTCATCGAAGTTGAACCTTGTGCAAATTGTCCACTTGCCTTTCCTTTACCAGTGTTAAGCTCATACCGTGTCTTTCTTTCAGCCCAGATTGGGATGAAAAATTTGGTTCTGTCTCTTTCAATCCCCACCTCATTGGGAGTCTTTCTGCCATCACCAACAATTTTGATTCTTGCCCACTTAAGATGGTTTTTGAGATCAGTTTCTTCTTCTGTAGCTAACCATCCCCCACAGAGATCTCCTATTTCTTTGAAGATCTTTTGTGACCATAGATGTAAAGGAATCCCCATGGCTCTAATCCAGCATGTTTCCTCAATTTGTGAGTTTGGAATGCAACCGGCAGTATGATTCCACCATTCCAGATGAAGCTTGAATTTTTTCCATCTCCATTCTCCTTGCACAATCTGCTCTGCCATGAATCTGTTTGGAAATTCAAAAAGAAACATGTTTCCTGTCATTTCATATATGTTTACTCCGTATGCTTTGTTCCATGAAGCACTAGCCCATCGCCTTATGTCTGCTAAAGTGGGTCTCTCATTGATTTCTTTCCCAAAAGACCCGATAATGCATCTTTTTAGTAGGCATGTATCCTCTCCTCCAGTAGGTTCCATAATAGAGATTTCCCCATTGTTCGTGTTGACCCTTGCCTCTCGAAGTGTATTGGACTGCCATTTACTCTCCTTAACTACTTGGGCATAAGGGAGATTTTCCACAGTGTTTCTGGGTGGTGCTATGGAAATCAGCCTGGTGGTCTGATTAATGAATCTTTCTATCTTAGCTGCTATGTCTTTCCAGCCAGAGTTCAGAGTTAACTCTGGGAGTATTATCACTGACCTCCCTTCTCCCTTCAGTGACAGAATACTCATATATCTTCCATGAGCGTTATATTTCCTAGTACAGAAATGTTCTGTCATTTGTTCCTTGTACTTCCATCTCTTCACTAGATTGTTTTGATCTGTCGAGGCTTCATTAAGTGCAAAGCAGATCCATTCCATTGCCTTTCTGCCCATGGATGATCTTCTCATCATGTTGCGACTTCTCTCAACCCATTCAAACCATGTGTCTTTGTTAGAGTTCCATCTGGTGATGTCAAAAGATTTGAATCCTGCGTTGAAATATATCCTGTTGTCTCCCATATTGTACTAAAACCAGCTGCTCAACTTATGAAGGTTAGAGTTTGTTTGGAAGTTATCCCGGTGGGCTAGAAAACTCGAAAATGAAAGAGGAAAAACCAGAACCAGAAATCTGGAAGGTTCCTACCACCGGCCAAAATAAAAGTTGTCGGAATTCAGAAAGGATTGTATGGTTGTGGTCGGAATTCCCTAGTGATTGTGCTGTCTAGAAGAAATTTTTTGAAAAAGTGGTCGGAAATGTGCTCACGCGCCGGCGCGTGGCTTTGTCCTCGCCGGAGTCTGGCTGCGCGTGGGGGCGCGTGGGGGTGTTTTATCGGAGCTATTTTCAGAGGGGTGGCCGGAATTTGATCGGCGTTCTAATGGTGTTAATGGATTCTCAGAATTCCTTGTTCTCAGGCTCCTCGGGGAGTGTGCCTGAGAGAGTGAGAAAATCTCATGTCCAAATGCTTGATGCTTCTCATCATTGACTTGAAGTATTTTACTTGTTGCTCTTTTCGATCTGCACTGATTTTGCTGTCTTCTCATCTTTCCCCTTCGATTTTCAGATCTGTTTTGTGCTTCATTTCGTGTTACTTTTCAAGGAAAGGCTATCAAGTAAGTGCTCCTCTAATAAGTTCATTCTGATTTTTGCTTTATATTCCTCTTCGGTTTTCCGACAAGGGTTAGAAAAGAAATACATCCTAATCATTTGATGAAGGCATGGTGGTAAACACAATTATTGAAATTATTCATGCTGCTCTTTTGGTTGATGCACCAAGATAATGTCTTAACTCTGCATTTGCAGATAGATCTTTTAGTCCCTGGATTATTGACATTTTGTTAACATTTTGATGGTGGGCATCTTCTCTCTATCCACTCTTCAAAGTGCATCTAAGAGTTGTAGTCTCCTCACTGGGATTTAAAGAAAAATGAAAGCTGCTATTCCATCTTTACTAGTTTTATATCCTATAAATAGTTATACAATGAAGGCTTCTTTTTGATCAGTCAACATTTCAAAAAAAAAATTTAGTTTGTTTATTGTATCAGCACCAAGGATTTTGTAATTTCTGATACTTTAGCACCGAGGATTTTATTATACTTTGATAAGTTAGCACGAATTTTTTTCCACAAGGAAAAAACTACATTTACAGATGAAACTTCTGAAAGATGAATCAATTAATGGGAAATAGTAGATACAAGAATTTGCTTCATCTGTTCTTTATCCAAAAAAAAAAAAAAACCAAAATTTGATGTATCTGCAGAAACCTTTTAATACTAAGCCAATTAAGTGAAATATGCAGTGTTTTCAGAGGCTCATTTGACGCGCACTTAAGCCTTGAAGCTCAGGGTAGGCGCTTCGCCTCACTTAGGCTGCTTCAGTGTAGATAAGGCACTGCAACGTGCGCCTAATTGCTCATAAGTTGTATCCTGAATAGAGCTGTACTAGACAATAAATATGGTTGGCAAAAAATATATATTAATCAGTTGATTGTCAAGGAAATTATTATGAATTAAGTTGTCACTTTCTCTTCGTTGCGCCTTTTTTTTAACTAAAGCTCACACTTTAATTGCGCTTTGTGCTTAAAGCCTGGATAGACCTGGAGTGCTTTTTAACGCTTTTTTGCTTTTGACGATGGAAATATGACTTGTTATATGCTCTACCAGATTTTGGTCATCCTTGGAAGTCTCTCATATAAGGCTAACAAAGTGACAACAGTCACGATGAAACAACAATGGAACTAAAAGGCCTATTCGTAGGAGATTTAGTGCTCTTTTTTTCTTAATGTTTTAGAGATTTTCTCTGTTAGCAAGCAGGGAATACATTTTTTTTGTAGTTTTAGGGGTCGTTCAGTTACCAGGATGGGATAGACAAGGATATCCCATGTGATTAGCTATCCCACCTTCTATATGGGATAGCTAATCCCACCATTTTAGTACAAAATGGTTCCTGGGACTAATTAATACTCATAACCAAACACGGGATAAAATAATCCTGCATTTTATCCCGGAATTATTATCCCTTATCCCACCAACCAAACTATCTCTTAGATCATTGCTATCCATGTTTTAGAAAGCTTGCATAACTACCCTGGTGGACCCACACTGAAATAAAGGTTGTAGATTTGAACTTTCCATTTAATTTGGCTAGTTAAGAATAAAACAAAGGCTCTAGGACAGGCTTTGTTCTCATGTGAAGGGGATTGATGTAGCGTATATGTGGCCTTAATAAACTCAAGTACCATGGTGAATTTGGGCTTTTGTCAGATTGATTTAGTAGTGTATCTGGGAGCTTCTCTTCTTTGAACTCTTAACATTTAACATTCTGACAATTTGTATTGACCTTTTTCCATGGTTGGTGGTTTATATAGTTTTGCTTTATTGTGCATTAAAGATGTGTTTGGGAAAATTAACTTGCTTAGCTATCTTCTTTTATTCCTGTCTTTTAAAATAGTATCTTCTTTTCCTGTAGGGTGATCTTAGAGACGCTTTACATTTGAGGCAAAATCTTTTGAGAGCTGTTTTGGCTGTTCCTTTCTGGAAGGTTTGTTATATTATACTGTTATATGTTGTTAGATAGTTAGTAGTTATGTAAATAAGTGTAGTCCCACATGGAATAGGAGAAGAGTAGGTATTGTATGTTGTTATAAATAGGGTTCTTGTATTATAGTTAACACACATCAATAATATAATTTTCCTCTGTATTATTCCTCACACGGTATCAAAGCGTGAGTGAGACACATCTGGGAAAGTCAGACAGTCGCTGTACGTCAAATTCCGGCGACTTTCTAGGGCTGAATTACATCAGATCAGTCTCTGTTGGTGTTGTGCGAAAACCAATACCACCACAGGCCCCAGCTTCCCAGACCAAACCCCAATAATAACCTCCGGCAACCAACTCCTCACGCGCTCTCACACACCGATCAGAGGACAAATTTTCCAGCGAGATCTACTCCACGCGCTGGCGGGTGGAGCCTTTTCTGGCCATTTTTTGAAAAACTTTCTTCAGGACAGTGTGATCGCCCAGTGATTCCGAGCCTACTCTTCTCCTATTCCATGTGGGACTATACTTATTTACATAACTACTATCTATCTAACTTATGTTATTATCCCTTTTTTGTGGATAAAGTAGTATTTTGTTGATGTTTTAGGGTAATGAAACATCGTATACAAGTTGTATACCAAAGATAAGGAACCTACATAAAAATATTGTTCTCCAATCTCTACCAAAAGACAACCAATTGTCTATATAAATAGGGATCTTTTGGATGCACCAAAACTTAATGAAAAACAAAAGAGATGTCCTAATCTGTGCAAGATCATATTCACCCGTTTGGACGCGCGCCTGTTCCTTTCCTTTAAAGCACCCACATAACTGCATTTATCTTTTAACTGATTTTGGCCAACGATGGTGACTGAAAATGTGAAGAACATGAAAGGTGCAAGAATGTATTTCATGATTCTCCTACTCATTTGATGTTGTTCCTGGTACGCTTATTCTTTCCCCCATTTTCGGAGCATCTAATATTTAGTCTTTTGAAAGCCTACATAGGCACAGTAAATGTGTTAGAGCTGGACTCCATGATTGATTTACTCAGCTCTTTATACACATTGTAGAGCTCTTACATTTTTGGATGTACATTTCACCAGCATTATCTTTTTGCTTGTTTACATAAAAAAAATACATATGTTACCTATTATAAAAAAAAGCCTGTATTTGTGCAAAGGTTATAGCATCTGACCTTTTTGTCTTTATTTTTGCCCCAATTATTTTAGTAGTGCACAATTTATCGATACCAAAAACCCATATAAGAAAGCTGTATGAAAGAATTCTTTTCTACATAAGCATTCCAATCTTACATGTTTGGGTTAATCATGTTTGCACCAAAACTATGCCAAAAAAAAAATAAAAAAATAAGACCTCCATCTTTATTTGAAACAAGGTCTTCGCATTAAAAGCTTGATTATTCCTTTTTCTCACTCTAGTCCAGATTGCTGCTAGAGGAGTCACTTCCAATGCTCTATTTCTTCTTGTTGTTTACTATTTGAGTTTCTGACATTTAAGTAAAGCCCTGTATTTGGAATTACACAGCGAATAATTTCTGGATAAGAAAAAATATCTGGATCTAACTCCACATGTTGTGATGACTATGGAGTGAAAGAGTAGTTTGATCTACACAACTTCCCCTGCTTCTTTACGTTTGTAACACCCATTTACGTGGTTTCTTAATCAAGTTAATGGCTAACACACGTTTGTGTATATTCTGGACTATTTGGCTAGTGAGGAATAGAGCTTGCTTTGATGGACAGCGAGATCATATTGTTAGAGTTAGAAGCAAGTGTTTGCATAATCTGTTTATTTGGTGTAAGAGTAGTCTGATTGATAGTAGTGATCATTATATTGACTTCTTGGAGTTACTAGGGAAATGCTGTAATTGACTGTATGGTTATTCCCAGCAGTCTTTGGTAGCTTTCTTGTCCCGTCTTGATACTTGATTAATAAACCTTTACCTTATTAAAAAAAACACCCATGTTGGGTGCTTTTCCACGGTACCTCATTAGTGGTATTTACATGGTCTTGTCCTTTGCTTCCTTAGATGTTCCAGCTGTTACGTTGGCTGTTCTCCCAATTTTTCTTGGAGCCCTCCTATTCCACTGTTTGGGAAGGGTAAATCTTTTCTCCCTATTTAGTAGTTTTGACTTCATACTGAAGCAAAACCCCTCTAGTGCTCCTTCCATATCCTGGAGTTGCTCTCTTTCCCATAACATAGATGAAGTCAAATGAGTAGCTCCTTTTTCTCCTAACCATGGAAAGCCTACCGATGCTTCCATCCAAAATCACTATACCTCCTTCCCTCTTTGATGTATTCCCTACCCAGCTACCCTGATTTTGCGAGATGAAAAAGGCTGCTGAATTTCTCTTTTTCCAAAGGCGATCTCATGGTTCAGATTGTTCTTAGAATGTAATCCTACTTCCCCTTTTGGGTTCCACAATGGTTGGCAGTGAGGTTGAATTCTTCACAATCCACTCCTAACATGATCTTTCAGCCACTGATCTCCTCTATGACATCTCTTCCTCCACCCAGACCTTCCCTCCCATGAAATCTCAATTAATCAGTCATATTTTTCACCCGCAGACGACCACCCTTATTGTAAGAGGTAACCTTTGCTGCATGGGATGATATTTTGTTCACTTCATCTAATGGAGAATTTCCCTGGAAACGTTCGTTTATATCTGCCACATTAGCTGGGAAGTTGAGCAGATAGGTAAATAAGTAGGGAACTAGAGAATCTGCTTTTGATTAGGGCAGTTTCCTCCTATGCAAGAGAATTTTGTTGCTGACTTGCTAATCTTTATATCTGGAGCACTGGGCTCCATGCTGTCCTTTCTTTATAACTGGTTCCAACGGCAGTTCCGAAATAAGTGGAGGGAAGAGAACCCACCTTGCTTCGAGCAATCTGGACAAGGTTGAGATATAATGGCACTTCTCCCTCTACTGCGTTTGAGATAATCTTCTGCTGTCTGACTTCTTGAAGCCAAATCAGGGTCCCTCTTTGATGTCTCTATTTCCCATCCTCTAGTGAGCCATTTATCAGCCCCTAGAACCTGACTGAAACATGAAAAAGTTGATCATGCTCTCCACTTGGGCGGCAAAATCCTTCTTTCTCATAATAAACTCCAGGATTCTCATAATGTTAACAAACCCCAGTTAACATGGTAATATGCTTCCTTAAAATCAAGTGCACCTGAAATTCTAGGATCCTCTCCTTCCAATCTGAAGTCAATCCACTCTTTGAAAATCAAAGGGGCATCAAGATATTGCTTCAAAGTGTAAGACATTATGGCACAATGATGTTGCATGTTCTCTGCAAAAGCACAAGGTGTTTTGGTTAATGGTGGTGCTTGACTGCTTTCACATGTAGGACTGTTCAATGTTGAATAAACAGCTGGTTGCTATATTGCCTACAGCTGTTTATGCTCTCTGTACTGGTGGTACACCATTGCTTGATAAAGGACTTTCCCCGTCACACTATGTTCCTGAAATTCTGAATGATGTGAAGGTATATATTGTTGTTTTTGCATAAGTTTATGCTTATACCTATTCTCTCTCTCATGAATACTGTTAAGTTGACTAAGATGCTGAAATGCCCATTGTTGTAGGTCGAAGATCATACACATGAAAGTGAGCATGAATTTTTTGAATGCTCCGTTGAAGTTCTTGCAAGAATTGGACATGAATCTGATCTGGAGGTGCTACACTCTTTTATTGTGTTTTCATCTCTTTGTGGTCAAAGTACTTCATTTCTACAGTCTTTTAACTGGTTTCAGGACGTTCAGTCACCTGGTTGCCAAAGCATACGTCTTCCCCGGCAGATCAGAGATCCACTTTGTCACGAAGTCGAAAATCACATTCTTGAAATTATAAAAGATGAAGAACATGAAAAGATGCTTCTATCTGATGTCATCTTCCTCTGTGCTATTTTATCAAACTTCATGTATTGTTCATATAGTACAAGGTCTGTCCTTTTTGATTTAATGTTTGCATGATTCAGTCTTAGTCTTAGTGATTGTCTCTGATAATGATGTTAATAGTCTTAGTCTTAGTGATTGTCTTTGATTTCCATACTGGTATATCATCGGTAGGGAACTGATTATTGGCATTATCTTTCCCTCTGCTTTTAAGTTTCATCTCTTGCTTGCAATGGAATGCCTTCATTAATCTTTCTATTTGTGTTGGCTTCATGTGCTGTTCACTCTTAGGCTAGGAGAAGAAATTATGCCTTGCCTTGCCACTCTGAGTCAATATGTGTCGAAGTTGTTGGATCGAGCTGCTTCTATCTTAGAGAAAAGTTATGACGACCTCGTTTGTGGTTTGTCGGGTTCAAGGTCAATATTTGACACAATTGGGACCATTGGTGTGTCCTTTGAAAGCTTTCTATGCTCCCCATTGTTTAATGAGATGCAAAACGACGACAACATAGATGTACTAGCTGCAGTAATTCAATCTGTGGAGAGGATTCTGAAGGTTCTTGCTAAACTGTATGAAGGATCCTCAAGTAGTGGAAGTAATTTTCATTCAAAGAGGGGCGACCTTGACTCTTCTGCATCTGTTTCTAGTCACGATTCTCATCCAGTAAATAGCCGTACTAGTATGATCATGGACATGGAGTTGGATGTGAACATTAGTTCCAAAGATACTGATGCTGTAAAAATTGGGGGAAAAGCTACTGCTGAAATATTGGCTTCGTCTGTAAATCAGAGAATGGAAGTCGTATCGATCATCACAAAGTTCTTTTCAGCTTTACCATTTCATACATGGGATGTCATCTTTGAGCTCATGGAGAAAGAAAGTGATCCAAGGGTAATCCTATTGGAATTTTTTGTTCTGGAATTGTTTCTTGATGATATCGCATTTTGTTGAGTTTTTTGTGAGCTTTTGATTTTTAATTAGGTCCTGGAAGTAATTATACACGGCCTTTGTCAACATCCTCATTGGTCTTCCAGCAGAAAGTTCTTAAATTTGGTAATGCGGCTCTTTGATGTTTATTTGTCTTAGTTATTGCATGTTATTTATGCTTTTGAAAACTCTGATAATTACTTAGTTCTTCTTTTCTTTACAGGTTACTTCCTTAAATGATTTCCTAGACATTCAGGCAAATCTCAAGGTCCAGTCTCTGAATGTGCTAGCTGCCATCTGCAGTTTGTTGGAGAGTCTTTTATCCTGTGAAGATGTTGCAAAGTTCAAAAAGAGTCGGGAAAAATTATCTGAAGAGGTATAATAGGTGTATCTTAGATTTTCCTGCATATTACACGGTGCTAAATGTAGTTCTAGTTAAACCAAGTTATGTATTCAAAAGAAAGTTCCTATATAACGTGCTCCTTAGAGCTCTTTCCTGCAGTGTACACTGGTAATGCTTCTCTGCATGTTTGCTTTTACCATTTTAAGGTCTTTTCAGATTGTATAGTACGCAAAATTCCATTCTTGATCATCGTGTACTTCGTATCAAGTAAAATTCGATTGGATGAAATGATACAGACAATCCGGATGTCTTGGATAGGAAGATACTTAATTGCTGCAGGGTCAACAAGTTTGGACCTCTTTAGCGAATAGTCAAACTTACAATAGGTTACAACAAGGATTCTGAAGTGTCAGAATTCTTACTGCTATTTATATTTAAAATTGGAATTTCTTGCCTTAAAAGTAGAAGAAAAGAAAATCCCACATATGAGATTTACCGGTAAAAGAAAAAGCTGAAGGATACCGGTCTCATGGTTTCAGCCAAGGCAATTTAAACATTGATTGACATGAAATGGAAGAATATCTATCAAAGATAACCTGCCAGAACTTCCTCCTACAAAGGTGCTGGTTAATTTAATGCCTCTTTTTTCGTTCTTCTTCTGAAATATATGCTCCTTTACAGTCCAAACTGCTAGATCTGTGATGCAGCTTAATGCCTTATTCACATAACATTTTAGTATTTTTTTTCTTTCAATCGGGAGGAAAGCTGTTTTCCTTTCTGTTGTACTTATCTACTTTCTTGAACAATAGAATCTCTTTTCTGGTTATTAACAAAACTTTCTCAAATTGCATGTCCTGTGAAATGGAATTATAGGGCTTGATTTCTCTTGGAGACCTGGTGAACAAAATTGCAGACAGCGACCTCTTTGATTGGGTTGGCCGGACCAAGCTTATTGATTGCATTTGCAATTTCATTTTAGTGGATCCTCAAATTGGTCAGGTATCACCTTCTAAAATCTTTATAAAGAAAGATTGGAACGAGATCACTTTTCCTTTTTGTCTAGTTTCAGTTTAATTTTTGATCTACAAAAACATATTCTCTTTCATGATACCTGCTTCAAATTTGAGCAGTCTATGATTGAAAAGCTGTTGTTGATGCTTCGGGATGCTGATTATCGAGTTAGGTTATGCTTTGCTCAACGAGTTGGTGTGCTTTTCCAAACTTGGGATGGTCATTTTGAACTATTCCAGGACATATGGTACGATGCTTGGTTTTCTTTTGCTTTTTGTTGCATATTTACCTTTTTAGTCTGTCAAACTAACTGATTGGCCAGACATAACTTATCCTAATAAATCTCAAGTGAGCATGGTTATCACACAATCAATTATATTTTTGCATGGAGTTGTTTGAAAGTTACTCAAAAGTTGATTGAAGACAATGTTCATAAAAAAGGTCACTCAAAAGTTTAATAAGACAAATTACTGTGAATTTGCATGGGTAGGTTTTCTAACTTAGCGCATGTTGTAAGTCTTCCCTACTTAAAATTAAGTACTTGGGCATGTAACTTTGGTTGGACTAAAGCATGAACCCCAATTTATTTTATGCTGTTCAATAGAAATAAGATATTGATTGTAATCTTTGCCTGGAGAATCTACAAACTATTGCATCTACCCCTTTAAAGAGCCCTACCATTTTTTTTTTGAAGCAAGCACATCTGCTTACAGTTGAAGAAAATATGTGCAGATTGAAAGCTTTACAATGATTTGCTAAATCTACTGTTATTCATCTTTTGTTTGTTGAAATAGTAATTTTCCTTTTCCCCTGATTTGATAAATTCTTTTCAATTAATTTTGTAATGCCTAAATGGGTCTATGGAATTAGAAAAGGAGATTCAAATAAAATTTGGGTTGAAGTCCTTGCTTATTTTGAATCAAGGAGACATGACTGAGTGGAGGAAGAACTATTTAATGTTTGTTTATCTTTCACTTATCAGGAATTATGGGTTATCATTTATTAGCATTTGTCATATTGTCTTTATCTCCTAGGCAAGGTTTCACTGCCATTTCCATCTGCAAAGTGGATCCAATAAGGCTTTCTATGCTTAATTTTACTTTAAGGTAGCTTTTGGGGGCCTAGGAGGGGAAGGATATATCACTGGATATCATTACTCACTGCTCAACACTCAATAGAGGGTGATTTGGCACAATTGAAGAATAGCCTCTTATCCCTTATTTCTTGTTGGTGCGTCCATGATGGTCCTTTATGTATTGTAGATTGGATGTTGTTCGTAGGAAACCATATGTTTGTGGGTTTTCTTTTTGGTATACTACTTGTATACGAGTGTTTCTGCATATGTGTGCAATTAAATCTTATCACTTTGTCCCAATAAAAAACACGGAATATGCATGTTTAGAAGTTGAATTTGCACTTTTTCTTTCAATTGGAAGTGTTTGTGAAAGGATCTTAGATCCAACCCAAAAATTGTAATGTAATAAGTGGGGTAGCCCAAGACCTTATAATGTCACTTGGAAATTTCTTACACTAGTAATTCGAGATGTTATATATGCCTAACACCATCCGACGTGTAATCAGTTGTAGGGTTTACATGTGGAATGATTTTTTTCCTAGTTCTTTTGTGGTTAATGAGTTCAAATTTTAAGAGAGCTCAATAGGCATAAGAGTGGGGCTGGTGTAGAGAGCAACTCAAGAAGCTAAAGCAGGGGTTTGGACTCGAGATAGTACGCTTAGAAGTGGGCTTGAAGCAAAGTTAATGATTTAATGGTTTGAGTTGATAGATATGCTTAGAGAGAATAGTTGTGATAATGACCTTACTAGTGGAAAAATTGGCTTACAAAAGCTAGGCTCTGATACCATGTAAAAGAATAAAGAAAAATGCTCTCAGGCACGTTCCCCGAGGCGCTTGAGAACCATGAATTCTAGGATTTCACCACCACCATCCGAGAGTCAACCCTGCTGCGACACAACCCCTGAAAACAGATCCAACATACGAACCTCCACGCGCGGCAGAGCTCTGGCGACCCCACCACCACGCACCGGCGCGTGACACTCACCCAGGCCAGATTTTAATTTTTTTCCTTCACACAGCCTCTTCGCGAGGCTGTTCCGACCCCATCCATCAAACTACCTCCATATTCCAACCACTTTTACTATTTTCCGGCGACGGGGAAGGATTTTTTAGGCCAGATTTCACTCCCTCTTCTTCATTAAGCCTCCTAGCGAAGCTCTTGGGGTACCTGCATTTAGCTACGATGGACTATTCAGAGAGAAGCTCCTATTTCTCTCTAGAATCTAAAAAATTGGAAAACATGTCCTTCATCAAAGCTGCCTCTTGGCCAGCCCTAGAACTAAGGGGCAGATGCCACCGCAAGCTCGACGAAGGGCAGGAGCCGCACTTCTCGTTGTCTGAGGAGCACACTCTCAGGCACAAGGGTTTCTTGGAATCTTGTCTGATTGGGTCTTTCTCCAAATGGGTTGGTTCTCTAGAGGCTGTTAGGAACTGGGCATCAGAGGCATGGAACGTCAAGGACGGGCTAAAAATATCGCAATTGGGGGACACACAATATATCTTTCGTTTTGTTGACAAGTCTCAAGCTTCAGAAATTCTTGTCAAAGGAAACAGGTGGTTTGATTGGAACTTTTTAAAGCTAGACAGATGGGTGGAGCACGATTGGTGTCTCGACCCTTGTTTCACCGGCGAATCATTGGTGGTCAACATGGTGGGTCTCCCGGTGCATCTTTAGTGTCTTGACCTATTCAAGAAAATTGGGGAAATTTGTGGGGGTGTTATTGATGTCAATTGCAGCTTACACGATCTCTCGTGAGTAAGGATTGTGGTGAGGAAAGGGGGCAAAATCCCTGTCTCCACTGTGGTGGAAGATGACTACTTGAGTTATAAGGTTTGGTAGAGCCCTGAATTTCGCCCTATCTTTATGCCTGTGATAGTGGTGGAAGAAAAGGGAAGGTCAAATAGAAGGTAGATGAGGGGAAATCAGTCTCTGAGGGGAGGGGAGGGCACACCAGATAAGTGGTCTAAGCCGGAATCAGATGTTAGATCAAGAAGACGGGAGGTTGAAATTTGGGAGAAGAAGACAATTTCAACAGGAGAAGACGTGAATGAGTTAGTGATGCGGGCTGGAAAGGCAGAATGGGCCGGTCCTCTTCTAATTATCATAGGGCCGGGCAAGTTTTCAGCAAGCATAGGCCTGAGTCTCCTCACATGGGCCCAACAACTTTTCCCAATTCTATTAGAATTGATCCAAAGTGGCCCAGATTATTTCAGCTGCGTCTGATAAGGCTCCTAAGCATATGGGAACAATTGTTCCTCCTTCTGCCAACGGTGCTTCGCAGAGTGGCATTTCTTCACCGAGTTCTAGTGACCAGCGCCCCTCTTCGATGGCTGCTGCTTCAGGGGCTGCACCGGCTAAAGGTGGTGCTGTTATTCCACGGCCTCCCACCTCTGATGGACCCAGCTCCATCGCCCCCTCATCTACTCTTGGGCTTAGTTGTGCTGAGGTTACTCTTCAAGCTTCTTCTTCATCTTCTGGGGCAGTGTTTGGAAAAGCGATCGCTTCGTCACTTTAAGCGCGAAGCGACATGGCATCGCTTTTTACTGCCTGAGGCGACGCGATCGTGTGAAGCGCACGCTTCAGTAAAAAAAAGCGACAAGGCGACGAGGTGAGTGAAGCGATCGTTTCTGTTAAAAAAAATTGCAGCTGGGCCCTTTTTAAAAAGAAAAAAGATTGGGCCTGTTTGTAAATTATACAAAACAGACCCCTAAGCTCACTATTATAGATCCTCGACAAAACAGAGTGTAAACAGACGCCTTCTCTCTTCTTCATCGCAAAACTAGGGTTTCTGCCATTTCTCCGGTCCAGGTAAATTCTTCTCCTCCTTATTTTTTTTCTTTCTTCTTCTTGTCCAAATTCTCCTTTTTTTTTCTTTCTTTTTCCTTCTTTCTTCCTTCTTCTTCTTCTCTTCTCTTTTTCACTTTTTCTCGTCCAGCGTCTGCACAGCTAGGGCAGGTGCTGTTTTCTCCCCCCCTTTATTCTTCTTAATTTTAATATTTATTTTAGTTTATAAAATTACTTATTATATATATGTGTTATATTTTTTAGTTTATTTGATTAATTTTATATGTATTTCAGTTTAGAAAATTAATTATTATATATATATATATTTGATTTTTTTAATGTGTATTTCAGTTTATAAATTAATTATTATATATATGTTATACTTTTAGTTTGATTAATTGTAAAATGTATTTCAGTTTAGAAAATTAATTTTATATATATATATATATGTATGTTATATTTTAGTTTGTTTGATTTTTTAATATGTATTTCAGTTTATAAATTAATTATTATATATATTATTATATATATTATATGTATTTTAAGAATTGCGCTTCACTTTAATGAAGCGTGCGCTTCGCTTTTGAAGCGAGGCGAGCCCCTGTCGCTTTTTTGCACTTCGCGCTTTCAAAAACACTGTTCTGGGGAGATTGTTGAGCATGCCCCAATTGATGTTACTGTCGGACCAGTATTTCTAGTTAATATGCCGCCAAAGGTTTCATGAAAAAGACGCACGTTCAATTTCGTCACGAATTGGAGGAGGGGATATGTCTTTTTGGATGGAGGATAAACTATTAAACTTTGGGAAGTTTCTAGGTGTTTCTTTTGAAGGGAAGGAAGATAGGGTGTTAGAACTGAGGGAGATTGAGCAACAATCTATTTATGATGGTGCAAGGAGGGAGTTGGGTCAAGGCGTTAAGCAAAATAATTTAGGGGATGTAGTGGTGTACCAGAGAAGGGGCCGGGTGTGTGACAGGGAGGAATGGAGCTCGGCTAAGGGGGATGGGGAAAAGGGGGATATTGGTACTTATGGAAGTTAAGATTCTTTCATGGAATGTGAGGGGATGAATGATCCAAACAAAAGGGCCATCATCAAAGTGGGAGTTAGAGAGTGGGGTGCTAACCTAGTTTGTTTTCGGGAGACAAAAATGGAAGTTTTGTCGGATGTGATTGTGAGTGTTTGGGGAGGTAGTTGGGTAAAATATGACTGGGTCCCAGCAGTGGAAAGTGCCGGAGGCATTCTTTTAATGTGGGACAATAAAAGCTTGGAGATAAAGGAGATTAAGAAGGGAGTTTTCTCTTTAGCAGCACTTGTCAAAGATAGAGTGAGTGGGGTGGAGTGGGGATTTGGGGGAGTGTACGGACCGGTAGGAGAAGGGTCCAAGGTATTTTTCTGGGAGGAACTGGCAAATGTGATGGGGGAATGGGATATTCCATGGGTTCTAAGGGGTGACTTTAATACTATTAGATTCTCGGAGGAGAGATTAGGGTGTAGTCTGATTTCGAGGGCTATGGAGGAGTTTTCTGACTTCATCAATGATCACTTTCTCATTGATCTTCCTCTGTCAGGGGAATGATTTACTTGGGCAAGGGCGGAGGATTCTAACTCAAGGTCTAGACTCGATTATCTGATATCGCCCTCCTGGGATGAGCTGGTGCCGAATGTGCTGCAGATTCCTTTACCTAGGCTGACTTCAGATCATTTGCCTATCTTGCTAGATGGATGCAGAGGGAGGGGGTGCGTGCTCCCTTCCGATTCGAGAACATGTGGTTGAAAGTGCCAAGATTTGGTGACAAGGTGAAAGAATGGTGGACGATCTACGGGGTGTCAGGGACACCTTCATTTCGTTTTTCGAAGAAACTTAAATTGCTCAAGGTAGATATTATTAGGTGGAATAAGGAGGTTTTTGGGAGGGTAGAGGTAAAAATGAGGGAGCTTATGCATGAATTGGGGGAATTAGAGAGAGGGGAAGGGACGAGGGAGTCAGATGAATCTGAGAAAGAGAGATTGGGGGAGGTTAAGAGGGAAATTGTCGAGTTAGCAATAGTCCAGGAGACTAGTTGGCAGCAAAAATCGAGGGCGCTATGGTTAAAGGAGGGGGATTCGAATACCAAGTTTTTCCATAGGGTGGCGGTTGCAAATCGAAGGAGAAACTTCATAGAGTCCTTAGTTGTGGATAGGGTGAGGATTGAGGGAGAGGAGGGGGTAAAAGAGGCGATAGTGGGGTTTTATGAGAACTTATACAAAGAGGAAGTTAGTTGGAGGCCAACTTTGGGAGGAATAGAGTTCAACCACATAGGGGAGGGAGACAATGAGTGGCTAGAAAGGGCTTTCGAGGAGGAGGAGGTGCACGAGGCTGTGTCGAGTTGTGCTGGTGATAAGGCCCCCGGGCCTGATGGTTTCTCCATGGCCTTCTTCTAGCTCTGTTGGGACTCCATCAATGGGGAGTTGATTGAAGCCATTGAATACTTCCATGTGAATGGTGTTTTCGAGAGAAGTATCAATGCTTCTTTTATTACTATTGTGCCTAAGAAAGAAAGTGCATCTTGTATCAGAGACTACAGGCCCAGTAGTCTCGTGGGGAGCATTTACAAGATTATTTCTAAAGTGCTTTCCAACAGACTCAAGAAGGTTCTTGACGTGTTTGTTTGGTCCTTCTAGAATGCGTTTGTGGAAGGTAGGCAGATCTTGAATGCTGCTTTGGTGGTAAATGAACTTGTAGACTCCAGAAGGAAAAATAGAGAACCCGGCTTACTATGCAAGTTGGACCTTGAGAAGGCTTTCGATCATGTCAATTAAGAGTTCCTGGATTTCATTATGATGCGGATGGGGTTTGGGGCAAGATGTAGGGGATGGATCAAGTTTTTCATTTCCTCAAGATGGTTTCTTTGGCAGCTCCAGGGGTCTCAGGCAAGGTGACCCCCCTATCCCCCATGCTCTATTCATTCTAGGGATGGATGCTCTGAGTAAAATGATGGATCGTGCTGTGGGCAGTGGTTTCTTGCGAGGATTCTCAGCTCCGATCGGGGTGCTCAGTGCCCGAAGAGTCTCTCATTTGCTCTTGCGGATGACACCCTGGTTTTCTGTGATGCCGATATGGATCAGTTGACCTACCTGAAGCAGGCCTTGCAGTAGTTTCAGATAGTATCATGACTCAAAATCAACCTCACCAAGTGTGAGATTTTTCCGGTGGGTGAGGTTGCTAACATTGATGCTTTGTCTTATGTTCTCAGATATAAGGTGGGCTCCCTTCCCACTACTTACCTGGGTCTCCCGTTTGGCGCTTCGCATAAGGATACTACGGTTTGGAATCCAGTGATCGAAAGGGTTGAAAAAAGATTAGCAGGCTGGCAGAAACAGTATTTGTCAAAAGGCGGTAAGGAAGTGCTTATTAAAAGCACTTTATCGAGTATGCCTACCTATTACTAGTCCTTGTTGCAAGCTCCCGTGAGCATCACATAAAAATTGGAGCGACTTCAAAGGAATTTTCTTTGGGATGCGGCGGATGGAACTAGAAAGTTTCATCTGGTGAATTGGCAGACAGTCACTTCCCCAAAAAAGTGGGGTGGACTTGGTGTAAAAGATCTTAGGGTATTCAACAGAGCTTTGTTGGGGAAGTGGCTGTGGAGATTTGGGGTAGAAGAGCATCCTCTTTGGAGGGAGGTCATCGCAAAAAAGTACGATTCCACGGGAGGGGGTTGGAGGACCAAGGCAACCACAACACCTTTCGGGTGTGGCATATGGAGGAGCATCATGAAGAATTGGGAAGCCTTCAGTGGCAACATCACTTACAGGGTGGGAGATGGAAGGAGAATCAGCTTTTGGAATCATAAATGGTGTGGAGAGGATACTCTGAGGGTCNGCTATATGGGCAAGACAGGCCCCAACCATCTTGTGATTCTTGGAGATGGGGTTTGCGTGGCGATTGTTTGTTTACTGTAAAGTCGTTTTACCAGACTATGTTGGTGAGAGAGGAGGCCACTTTTCCATACTCCTCGATCTGGATTCCTAAGGCGCTCACGAAGGTGTGCTTTTTTGCATGGCTAGCGGCGAGGCAAGTGATTTTGACTGCTGAAAATGTGCGAAAGACAGGAATTAAGCTCAGAGGAAGAGGTTGATCATCTTTTGTTGCATTGCCCTGTGTCCTCGGCTTTGTGTAGGGCAATCCTGAGTCTTTTTGGTGTTCAATGGGTGATGCCAAGCACTGTAAAAGAAATGTTATATAGCTGAGCCGGTTTCCGTAGAAGAAGAAAGCAAAAGGCGTGGAAGTTCGCCCCGTTAGCTCTCATGTGGATAGTTTGGGGGGAGAGAAATAGGAGAGCTTTTGAGGGGATTGAGTCTCATTTTTCACATCTTAAGAATAGTCTTTTATCTTTGATCGCTTTTTGGTGCACTCATATAGCCCCTACTTGTATAGAAGATTGGGCATCTTTTGTAGAGAATATATTCTGATGTAAATTCTCTACTTTTTGGTATACTTCCTGTATACGGGAGTTCTTTCCGTTTTGATTAATACAATTTACCTTATCAAAAAAAAGAATATGAGCATCTAATTGGCAATTTTAAGACAATATGTGGAGTGGCCCAAGACCATTATAAATTCCTTTTTGGAAACCCTTACACACTATTGTATATTTTTAAAAAGTGCAGTGGAAGAGATATTGAGGTCTGAAATTTGTGAAAACTTGGAAGAAGGAATGAGCAAAATTTCAATGAATGAAAAGGGTTTTAGGGAGGCGGGGAGGGACAACTTCTTTCCTGCTTCATTGTCAAGCTGGTAATTCTTGATTGTTCTAATTTACTTTTAGTAGTTTCTCTTATCAGCATCTTTCATCCTCTTTTGCCTCTAATAAGCTGGTCAATTTGGAGTTGCATTTTGAGCATTTACCAGGAAAACATCCATTACATCTTTTATGCAGTTTCAGTTTTTAGGTTTATTTTTCTTCAGACCATTCTCTTTCACAATTGTTAATATTTTGTCTCTCTTTTGTTAGCATTTATGTTCTTGAATTGTTTAGCATTTCAATTATTCACCTAAAATTTGCTGTTCCAGTTCAAATTTTGGCACAAAGCTTGTGACTTGCTCCAGAGAGAAACTGGTGATGGCGAAGGAGGTTTTAGCTGCTGGTCCTCAGCCTCATACCATATTGGAAACGATAATTGTAACCCTAGCTCATCTTGCGCTGCACAGTGAAAAAATTGAATTGGAGGTATTCACGAGGCAGGTTTTACTTGAATTACACCCCCGCACCCCAACACACACAAAAAAAATAGAGGCTGGTTTTGCTTGGCAATTTTCATGTTGTTAGCTAAAAAATTTGAACATCTCTTACTGAGGAAGACGTGGTAACAAAATATGAGTCTTTGACCCTGTAAAATATAATTTATTATTAACATAAATGTAAACGGAAGGTGCACCATAAAGAGATTTTTACTGGCCCTAAAATGCCTGCTAGGTTGATTATTGAAAGAGGTTTGTTTTCCGTATTTAAAGAGGGGTATTTGCTTGAGCCTTTTCCTTGTCTTTGGTTGCTGTTGGTAAGAGGTTATCAGGTCCAATTGTATAAAAGTTGAGTGTCATGATAAACTTTAAGTTGTTCCAATTTAGCATGTGTTTCCATTGTGCTGAAACCCAAGTTATTTTTCTTTGTTGTTACCCAGCTGACACTTGACCTGATGAACATGATTTACATCTGATTTGTTTAAGGGGATTTATTGCAGTGAACATATTAATTTGCTGCAATTATTAGAGAGTGCATGTATATCTCTTCGCCCAAGATTAAATATTTTGACTTGATGAGGTTATATCTGTCCAATTTGTTGTTTTTGCAGGCTGTTTTTATGGTATGTGTTATTGCTGCTATTAACCCTTGTCTAAGGTAATCAAAAGTCATCAGCTGGTCATGTTTTTCTGGGAGGTCACTCGATTCTTAATTTTTTCCTCTTTTCAGGAAACTTGTTATTGTTGTCCTTGATAATCTATCAAGGGAGTTAAAGTATACTTCTAGGTCAAAGGTATAAATAAATCTCTGCTAGTATTTCCTTGTGTTGGTTCAAGAGCATAGGCAATTAGCCTTATAATTCCTGATGAAGAAGTGTGAGATTGTCAACCTGCTTGATTTTTTAAACATTTTTCTCTGGCACAATCTTGTCTGTTTGCAGTATATGGAAGAACTTATGGCGCCAATCCTCTTTAGTTGGGTTGCTTCTGGTGTAAATTTAGCTGCTCTTCTCGAGGTAGTGTGTTTCTTTTTTCTAATCCGACTCATTATCAACAATTTGTTGCAACCCAAGTAGCTGACACATTAGTTATACTTCACGCCAGGCAAGGGATCTGTTCGTCTTCAATGTAGAGCCTATCAATTTCATTCAGTCCTGCTGCCGTTGGCTTCTTCCATCTTTATTCTTGCATGGTGACATTTCCAACATGAATTGGCTTGCGAAGGTTGTTGTTTCTTTAGTCACTTTTCGTTCAGTTACAATTTTAAGTTAGCGATATACTTGTATGATTTCTCTAATATTCTTATGGTGCTTACTCCAGAAGTTCCATGCTTTCTCTGTTGAATATTCTCAGCTTTTAGTCACCGTTCTGCTCCGTACCTGAAATTTCTACATTTTCATCTTTTGCAGGTTGCTTGTGAGCCTCTTGCTGAAATGATTAAGAATCACTTTGTGGATATTTTCTCTGTTTGTATTACGTTACACTCCAGTAAGAAGGCTGGTTGGGAGAAGGGATCAGCTGTACTTGAAAGTTCAATTCTGGATATTGCTAAAATATCTGAAACTGAAAGAGACAAGCTTATAAAGAAGCACATGGTATGACTCTCTTTTATACACATCCGAGATAACATTTTCATGATTTATCTGAAATGAAATGTGTGAAGGGGAGCCTTGGCGTAATTGGTACAGTTGCTGCATGTGACCAGGAGGTCACGAGTTTAAGCCGTGGAAACAACCTCTTGTAGAAATGCAGGGTAAGACTGCGTACGATAGACCCTTGTGATCCGACCCTTCCCTGGACCCCGCGCATAGCGGGAGCTTAGTGCACCTGGCTGCCCCTTTTTTTTAAATCTGAAATGAAGTGTGTGCTATGCGAGGAAACTGCTGAAATTTTTCTTCTTGTGTAGAGATTTGCTCGCATGAACCTCATATCTAATTACATAGGTTTGGGATAACATCTGTTTCTCTGCATAGCAGTGGCTTCTATGGAGAGTAATCTACGATGCTATAATGTGATATGATTGTTTCAATTTTTTTTATAAGGCTGAATGTTTCATTTATTATCTCAATGTTACTGGAGTCTTCCTCTTTCACATGAAAAATCAATCTTCTTTCCCAAGGCTTCTATAAACAATTCCATCATATGTTTATGCAGGTTTCAATCGTGAATACTATTTTCTCTCTTGCTTCAACAGCTGTGGACCCTGTTCTTCCTTTATTTTCCAAGGAGACAATTGCACGTGCAATTATGACAGTTGTGGATGGATTCTTGGAGATGTGCAGTATCTTTTCTCGGTCATTTTTGTAATTTTATGCTGTTGTTGGCACGTCTTTAAATTTGCTTTTACTGCTTTCTTGTAGAGATGACTCTTGTCAAAATTTTGGCCTTATTGACAAGATTAACATTTTCCGACCTGATCGAGTATTTACGGTACTGCTCGCGATTTGTATATATATAATTCCCTGGTGAATTTTTTGTTTGACTATATGTCTTACCTAATAACTGCTGGTGGACAGTTTCTAAATAATGAATATTGCTGTGCAGTTTATAGTAGAGATGCATTACAAAGTTGCTGCAGCTGGTCATTTCAGGCACAAATCTGATAGGCTTGCTGGGATTGAAGTGCTTATTGATGTATTAGGGCATCGAGTTGCGGTTCCTAGTACTGCTAGGTAAGCTTAAATTGGACTTATGCCTCTGCTTAGGGGGACGGTATTTCATGGTGAGGCAAATGCGTCTCCCTTTCTCTTGTTAGCTTTGAACAAGCTGAGAAGGTCATCTGGGAAATGCAATAGCTTTTTAATTTATTGTTGTGTTTGATTGGAATTTCAAATGTTAATTATGAACTTTTCACTTTGCTTTTTATGTTTGTCCAGTATAGCTGTTTATTTATTTGAGCATAAACTTACAATTGTTTCATATTTTGAAGTAAAATAACTATGATGCACTTTCAGTATGACTTGAGTGAAATTGTCTGAGCTTTTGTTTGTCCTCAATTTTATTTACACATGGCTGATCGAGGTGGTACTTGTATGCCGTGGTTGTGGTGCTTTACTGCTTCCCTGCATTGCTTAGGTGGTGCTACTTTTGCTTCTTTTATTAAACATTTATTTCATGCTCAGAGGATCTCGCATCTAACATTAGTTTTTTTTTTTTCCAGTTATCTCCTAAACTTGATTGGTCAATGCTTGGACCTTGATGCTTTGCTGGACCAATGTTGTCGAATGATCTCTTCATTGCTAAAAATTTTCAAAATAAAGCAATTGGAGGGAACCGCTGTTGTCCTAGGTGAACAGCTTCAGGTTGATGCCACTGAGGTTCTTATTTTGATATTTATCTATATTATTTATGCCATAACTCAAGTGTTTTTTAACCTTTTGCCATTTTTTCCGTTACAGTTTTTAATTTCCAAGTTGGTAATGTGTTGCATTTCTTCCGAGTCTAGTCCCAAACTGTCAGCTGACACATCATCTCAAGTTTTGTCTCTGCTCAGCCAACTTACCTTGGACTCCGATCCATCTCTACACGAGTACATTAAAGTATGCATTTATGTTATTCTTATTACCTGAACAGTTTGGACCATCATAGTGCCTGAGTAGCCAGTGGAATGCTCATTGGCCTTACTAATTACTGTGTGCGTCACTTCAGGAACTAGAGCCATTCCCTAACCTCGATTTATTTCATGATATACGGATGTTCCACGAGAAACTATGTCAAAATTACTCGCCTAGGGAGCACTTGTCAATCGTAAGTAGTCACTTGGAACTTCAATGAACAGTTTGATGACCTTTCAGTTTATTATTCATAACACTTAATTTCATTTTTCTTATTTGGCTGTTTCAGTTAGGGAAACGATCTCGCTACCTTCCACCAAGGTTACTTGTCTGGAGGTAATACAGCTTCTACTTTTCATATTGTCTCTTCAATTGTTATCCTTTTAAGCATGACTTGGTTGTGTGGACTAAAATTGAGTTCTATAATCTTTTTTTACACATGTCGAAGTCGGTAAATAGAGCGTCGATCACTTGCTAATAAAGAACTATTACTTCTTAGTTTTAAAATAGAAGTAACAGAGTGAACTTCAATGGGGCATATTAATGTAATCTTATACTATTACTATTGAATAAAAGTTTCAATGTGTTTTCAGTGCCCCAATTCAGAGATAGTCTCTATGCTGTATCGCTTCTTCCCCAATTATAGAGGGCAACACCCACGCCCACTCTCCCCCCCCCCTCCAAGTTACAACAATAACATTATGCCTCTGTCGCAAACAAGTTGGAGCTGGCTGTATGAATCCTCACTGACTATGTTTCTCCATTAAACTCTCTCTCCCCTTGCAAAGCATTTTTTTGCAAGATTTATTTGATAATTGTGTTTTCGATTGATTTGTTTTAGGTAGGTATTCCCTAAAACAGGAAGATGGGTTTGTTTTACAAGCATAAAGAGGAATGGTAGTAGGAACAAGTTAAACAGAACAACCTGCAGATTGCTGCATCAAAAGGTTTATAAATTAAATAGATTTCCAAGAGAATAATACCTTGAGAATAACTTGGGAGGTCTACTTGATAGAAATTAAGTTTCATGCAATTGATGAGTCGCGAGCCAGTGTTAACGATAGGCTGGAAGTTTGGAGACAGGCTCTTGAATCTAAGGGTTTCAAGCTGAGCAGGACGAAGACGGAATACTTGGAGTGTAAGTTCAGCGCGGAGCCGGGGGAAGTGGGCGTGGATGTGAGGCTTGAATCACAGGTCATCCCAAGTAGAGGCAGCTTCAAGTACCTTGGGTCGGTTATCCGGGGGAGGGGAGATCGACGAGGACGTCACACACCGTATTGGGGTAGGATGGATGAAGTGGAGGTTAGCATCTGGAGTCCTGTGTGACAAGAGAGTGCCACCGATACTCAAAGGTAAGTTCTATAAAGCGGTGGTTAGACCGGCCATGATGTATGGGGCTGAGTGTTGGTATGTTAAGAACTCACATATCCAAAAGATGAAAGTAGCAGAAATGAGGATGTTGAGGCGGATGTGCAGGCACACTAGGATGGATTAGATGAGGAATGATGATATTCGGGAGAAGGTATACGTGGCTCCCATTGACGACAAGATGCGGGAAGCGAGGGTCAGATGGTTCGGGCATATTCGAAGGAGAAACCCAGATGCTCCGGTAAGGAGGTGTGAGCGGCTGGTTGTGGAGGGCACGAGAAGAGGTTGAGGGCGGCCTAAGAAGTATTGGGGAGAGGTGATCAGACAGTATATGGCGAGACTTCAGATTTCCGAGGACATGACACTTGATAGGAAGAGGTGGAGGTCGAGTATTAGGGTTGTAGGTTAGGAGGTAGTTGAGTCTTGCCTTACCTTGTTACCTTTGTGAGCCTAGTCTGGTAGGGTTTTTGTCTAAGATAGCTAGTGGCAATGTTGTGTCTTACTATTTTGCTTTTCAGTGCAGGACCTATTTACTAGCCATCGCTTTTGCTTTGCATCTTTCTTCTGAATTTCATGTTGTTCCTATGTTTCCTATGATTTCTGTGGTGAAACTAATAGTCTCCTTTTGTCTTTTCATTTTCTTGAGCCGAGGGTCTTCCGAAAACAACGTCTCTACTTCTTCGGGGTAAGAGTAAGGTCTGCGTACACACTACCCTCCCCAAACCCCACTTGTGGGATTTTACTGGGTTGTTGTTGCAAGTTAGTATTGATGTTGAAGAGTAAAACAAAAAGAATTACTGTAATAATGGAACTTATAAACGAAAAAAGACTTTGACTTGGAAGCGTCGAACAATTTTTTTTTTTTTGGTTTCCTACCCGGTGCCCGGTACTCTCATTGAACCCCGACTATATCAGGATTCGCGCCGCGTAGGGCCCCATTCGGGGGGAAGCGCTCCCTACCAAGGATTTTTCCATACCCAAGGCTCGAACTCGAGACCTCTGGTTAAGGGAGGAGCAGTCCCATCCACTGCACCACATCCTTTGCTGGTGCGTCGAACAATTAATTTGATAACAAGAAACTAAAATTGAGCTCCGTCTGTCTCATTTTAATTTGACACACTTTCTGTTTTAATCAGTCTCAAAAAGAATGACACTATTTGATAACAATTAAAAATTAGTATCCCATGTTACCCTTGATGACATGATTTTTTTGGACTCACTTGATATAAAGTTCATTCTCTCATTAGGAGAGAGAAAATGAAGAGACGTGGAACTATCATCACTACTCCTTTAATTATTGATAGTATGGGCAATTTTGATACTTTGCATATTTTAAGTTATATGTGAAAAGTCTTTCTTGACTTAAACTCCATATCCATTCAAACAATTTGATATAAAATGGAAGGGAGTATTATATAATTTGAATTCTTGAAATTTTTTCTATTTTGAAGTTTGCTAATTCTGCACAGTTAATATGGTAATGTGAATCCAGCATTAATAAAATTATTTACCTTAAAAAAATGGTAATATAACATTAAAGATAACCACGGTAAAAATACAAGTAAAGCACCATAAGAATAAGGGGGAAAGTCACCACAAATATTAGGATTTAATCTTTTTAGTTTATTATGCTCTTGCTGGATAAGGTCTTGCGCAGTTATAATTAAGTGAATAAAAGTGCTTTCTCTCTAAGAGCTTAAGATTTTAGGTAAGAGGATCATACAATTCAACATGGTATCAGAGCAGGCAGAGGTGTTGAGTTCAAGTCTCATTGCTAAAAAAGGAATTTTCATGTGTTTGGTCCATGAAAAGGAATCAGCTCCACACGTGAGGGGTGTATTGAAGACATAATTAAGTGAATAAAAGTGCTCTTTCTCTAACAACTTAAGCTTTTAGATGAGATGGTCATTCAACTCAACAAAGTCCTTACATTTGTCCTAACATTAGGAAGTTGGAGATAGGATTCAATAGGTGTGCGTATAGCACAAAGTGTCCACCTTAACACAAACTAATATGGGATGGAAGTGAGCGGTGAGAAATTCAACTTAAACAAAAGGAACAATGATAAAAGTGGAACTAAAATAAAGACCCTTCAGGGAAAGAAAACCAGAAAAAGAGTCAAAAAGACTGATTTATCGTTTTTTACACTCTAAATCTTTATTTTTATGGGTAAGTACGGTGCGCTGTTTGTACACTCTAATCTGGAACTGGATTTTAAGAATTATCTGTTGGAAAAGTGTTTTTGATATTATTAATGTCTTGTTATGTAACTTTTAGTTGCCTAATTTGAAAATTAAAAGGAAGAGGTACTCTTGTGTACCCTCTTGGTACACTTTTTATTAATAGTAGTTTACCTTATTAAAAAAAAGGAAGAGAAGTACCAGAGTAACTCAGTAATATGAAAGTATATAAAGCATATTTTTCTTGAGTTCTAGCAATGTTTAAGTATTTTATTAATCCAATAATAGATAAAGCAAGTATCTGATTTATTCATTGTTATCATATGCAACGTTCAATCATTTGGAAGAGTGGTTTATACTTAATCCTGGTTGTCTTATGGAGGGTCTCAAGTATGGAATGAGTGCGTTAGTAGCTTTGATAGTTGTTAGGTGTCCCACATTGGTGGAGGAGAAGGTTATTGTTTCCTTATATGGTGTTGGACAATCCTCACCTCATGAACTAGCTCTTTTGGGGTTGAGTTAGGCTCATGGTCCATTTCTTATCAATAGTGCAGGAGAATCTTGGAGTCATGACTGAAGTTCAAATATACGAGCATTTATTTGATTACAGTATCATGGGAATCAAATCTATTCCCACATAATCCTTGCATATTAGAAGGAAATTAGAAAAGCTGACTTTGGAGGGTAATGTGAGGGGCATCTTTCTGGGAGGTTGGGTAGAAGATAATTTCTCTGATGTTGTAGTTGGCTTTCTCGGATTAATCTTGCTTGCAAGTTATCAAATTGATTTATAGGGTGCATTTTCAGCCAAATCTTATATTGAATATTTCTGGTCAAGTTTATCATCAGCATTTGTTCTCATGCAGTTAAATGTCCTTTTCTTAATATTTTCTTAATTTACTATCTTTACAATTAGGGTGAAGTCATAGATGAGTATACTAATCTGCTTCAGATTTCTCCCAATGCTATCTATTTTGGTCTGTTGCAATCGACTTTGGTAGTTAAAAGTTCTTCTCCTTTGGTGGCAGTCTAAAAGCATTACACAAAAAATTGTTTGAAGATGAAGCATACCCAGCACAAAAGAATGAGGAAAATATTTTCGAAGATGCATATTTGGATTCTGACCATGACATTGTCCACACAGTCTGGAACCTGGTGCACACATGTAGTTTGAGTGGTGCTGGCAATTTTGGGTCGCTGGTCTCTGATTTTTTATCTCGGGTATCATTTTTAGTATCGCTATGCTATTGAATTATTCCTTTTGCTGTTATTTCATTTATCTCGGCTGTCTACTTTCTTTCTTTTTTCTCTTCACGTATCTCAGTCGTTTGCTTTCTTAACTACAATTTGCAGGTTGGTATTGGCGATCCGCATGGTGTTGTGTTCCATCTTCCTATCCAGTCTAAATCTGTACATGAGCATAACTTCCACCTTGATACGGGCATATCAGATGACCTTCTGGTGGCAATTATGAGGCTTTTAAAGAAATATTTGATGGATGACTCTGTTAAGATAATTGACATAGCATCTCAAGCTTTGCGGGTGAGTAAACATACGATGGATTGTGTACTGTTATTTCAAGCAGATCTCTGCCAGAACCCATATTTCCATTCTGTACTATTATTCATAAGAAGTCATCATTTAAGTCAGTTTTAATGCACGAATTTTGGATTAGCATCAATAATCTCTATTGTACTTGTTAATAAGGCTGGTCACAAAGAAGGTGGTTCAAGCTTAGGCTTCATATCTAGTGACCTTAACTTACGTGCCAACCAATCAAACCACCCTGCCTTTCGACTTGGGAACCAGAAAGAAAAAACGAGAGACAAAAAGAATGCTCTGATGGAAGAGAATGGATGAACAAATGAAAGAAAGATTCTAAGTGATTACAGAGAGTTAGATACAGTGTTAGGTTATCAAGTTTTGCAGTTCCTGCATTGGGTTGGATAAATGCTATATGGTTATCTACTGAAGCTACATTGTTAACTGATGTATTAATGCTTGAACAAGCCGAGTCTATCAAAGTGAAGTTACTGAACATAATATCTGTGTCATTGAAGGGATCTTATGACTATTTTCATGATGTCCTTTACCCTCCAAGAACAATTTTGGTTCCTCAGATCCTCCTTATTGATTCCTTAGGCACCATTGGATATATGTCCAGTCTCTACTGTTGTGCTTATGTTCCGTCATCTGTGCTAGGAGATTAGCTTTGTCCATGTTTGAGATGTTAATTTCAGGTTGATACTCTGTTTTTGCATACCGTTTGAAACCTTTGAAATACATATTTCAAGGTTGCTCTTGTAATTTTTACACTGTGATATTCATTTTTGAGAATGAGGGCCTTTCATACCAATTAAAACCGAAGTCATTCATGAGGATCTGGTATAAAACCTTGGTACTTGTATTGCTGTTTTCAGATTCATGAGTGCATCCCAGCTTCGTGTGCAGCAGATCAGTTTTGAGTTCTTGAAATTGGTGTTTTATTGACCCTATTTCGGTGTTAAAAGGCCTGATGCAATTAGTCTTGGTAGAGAGTGCCAAGAGCGAAGTATATTTTATTGATTAAAATATTGAAGGTGCTTAATTAAAGATCCTGGTTTACTACATTCTTAGCCATTTGATCTTGGGTGCTCGTGTATTTTAACACCTGTGTCTGCTTCTCACTTTCATTCTTTCAGTAGTTGTTTCTTTTTTGTGTCATTCTCAACTATTCTGTGCAACAACTTCATAGTTTCTCTAACAGTCATGGTTTTCTGAGGATAAAAGTTCAAAAGATCTTTTATTCTGTTTTTCCTAAGCTCCTCTGTTCAAGCAGGGGATACTTTCAACTGAAAATGGTCAGAGGGCTTTGCTATCGTTTGATTCTTATCAGAGATCCCTTATTGAGGTAAGTGAAAATGTTCTGTTATAGTCCGTGCTGTTAGTTAAACCATATATCTGATTAATGTAACCTAACATCTGCAAAAGTTGGATGGAACACTTAAATTAACAAATCTTTTAAGTCAACAGCCTTTTTCTCTTGGAATGTATCTTGGATATAATTATCTGCCTTTTTTTTCGCTTGACATTCAGTAATATTAGTTCTATGATGTGTCAAAAAATGTTGAGACAGTTTGATACAACCAGTTTAGACAAATTGTCAGGGGTTTTGCTTATTATTTTTGGCGTTACTCATTTGTTTCCCAATATTGGAAGTTAAACTGCTCTTAGTGTGTTTGTAGGTGCATTCCAAAGGTGTCAATGTCAACCTGGTTCAGAAACTCCTGGCAGATCTAGAAAGAAAGCTTAACGGTATTCAGTTCAGTGATTAAGTTTAAGTTTTGTTGGTCATCTTGTATGTTGTTCCGGGCTTTCTTTTGCTTGTACCGAATATTACTATATAACTGTTGAATGATGAGAGAAAAAACGTATTCCCATGTTCCTCTTAAAGTTGTGAAATAGCTTTTGTTATTTTATTTCTACTAGGACCTCTTTTGCCTGAGAAGTGAGGCTATTATTCCAGCATTTCCATCCTGGAGTTTAGACTCTGATGAAGCTTGTTTTTATATTCAATATTTCCGTTTTTTTTTGGAAAAAACATTTCTTTTTCAAAAGATAATGCGCATAAGTTTAGTACAGTTCGGCTTGTGAAACGGGTATATCAGCAAATGCGGGGAAAATTTGGCACTTCCTAGTTCATTCTGGATATTGTATTTACTTCTATGAATGCAAAATGTGTTATTTTAATGTCTTTCCTCAACTTGTTGTGTATTAACCTATTCTTGCAAATGAAATTCCTTACGAAAAGCGCTTGAATCTATAAGTTAAGGGGGAGTTGATGGAAGCCATTAAATACTTCCATGTGAATGGTGTTTTCGAGAGAAGTATCAATGCTTCTTTTATTACTATTGTGCCTAAGAAAGAAGGTGCATCTTGTATCAAAGACTACAGGCCTATTAGTCTCGTGGGGAGCATTTACAAGATTATTTCTAAAGTGCTTTCCAACAGACTCAAGAAGGTTCTTGACGTGTTTGTTTGGTCCTCCTAGAATGCGTTTGTGGAAGGTAGGCAGATCTTGAATGCTGCTTTGGTGGCAAATGAACTTGTAGACTCCAGAAGGAAAAATAGAGATCCCAGCTTACTATGCAAGTTGGACCTTGAGAAGGCTTTCGACCATGTCAATTAAGAGTTCCTGGATTTCGTTATGATACGGATAGGGTTTGAGGCAAGATGGAGGGGATGGATCAAGTTCTGCATTTCCTCAGTCAGATTCTCTGTCCTGGTTAATGGTAGCCCATGTGGTTTCTTTGGAAGCTCCAGGGGTCTCAGGCAAGGACACCCCCTATCGCCCATGCCATTCATTCTAGTGATGGATTCTCTGAGTAAAATGATGGATCGTGCGGCGGGCGGAGGCTTCTTGAGAGGATTCTCAGCTTCGATCGGGGTGCCCAGTGCCCGAAGAGTCTCATTTGCTTTTTGCGGATGATACCCTGGTTTTCTATGAAGCCGATATGGATCAGTTGCCCTACCTGAAACAGGTCCTTCTGTGGTTTCAAATAGTATCAGGTCTCAAAATCAACCTCGGCAAGTGTGAGATTTTCCCGGTGGGTGAGGTTGCTAACATTGATGCTTTGTCTTATGTTCTCAGATGTAAGGTGGCTTCCCTTCCCGCTACTTACCTGGGTCTCCCATTGGGCGCTTCACATAAGGATACTACGGTTTGGAATCCAGTGATCGAAAGGGTTGAAAAAAGATTAGCAAGTTGGCAGAAACGATACTTGTCAAAAGGCGGAAAGGAAGTGCTTATTAAAAGCATTTTATCGAGTATGCCCACCGATTACTTGTCCCTGTTGCAAGCTCTTGCGAGCATCACAAAAAACTGGAGCGGCTTCAAAGGAATTTTCTTTAGGATACGGCAGATGGAACTAGAAAGTTTCATCTAGTGAATTGGCAGACAGTCACTTCCCCAAAGAAGTGGGGTGGACTTGGAGTAAAAGATCTTAGGGTATTCAACAGAGCTTTGTTGGGGAAATGGCTGTGGAGATTCGGGGTAGAAGAGCATGCTCTATGTAGGGAGGTCATAGTAGAAAAGTACGATTCCACTGAAGGGGGTTTGGAGGACCAAGGCAATCACAACACCTCTCGGGTGTGACATGTGGAAGAGCATCATGAAGAATTGGGAATCCTTTAGTGGCAACATCACTTATAGGGTGGGAGATGGAAAAAGAATCTGCTTTTGGAATCATAAGTGGTGTGGAGAGGATACTTNAGGAACATGCAAGATTGGGAGATTGCGGAGCTCCAAGATTTACTGACACTACTATATGGGCAAGGCAGGCCCCAACCATCTTGTGATTCTTGAAGATGGGGTTTGCGTGGCGATGGTTTGTTCACCGTAAAGTCCTTTTACCAGAGTATGTTGGTGGGAGACGAGGCCTCTTTTCAATACTTCTCGATCTGGATTTCTAAGGCACCCACGAAGGTGTGTTTTTTTGCATGGCTAGCGGCGAGTGGAGTGATTTTGACTGCTGAGAGTCTTGAAAGAGAGGAATTACACTTGTTAGTTGGTGCTATATGTGTAAGAGCTCAGGTGAAGAAGTTGATCATCTTTTGTTTCATTGCTCCGTGTCCTCGACTTTGTGGAGGGCGATCCCGAACCTTTTTGGTGTTCAATGGGTGATGCCAAGCACTGTAAAGGAAATGTTATATAGCTGGTCCGGTTTCCGTAGAAGAAGAAAGCAAAAGGCGTGGAAGCTAGCTTCGTTAGCTCTCATGTGGATAGTTTGGGGGGGAGAGAAATAGGAGAGCTTTTGAGGGGATTGAGTCTACTTTTTCACATCTTAAGAATAGTCTTTTATCTTTGATTGCTTTTTGGTACACTCATATAGCCCCTACTTGTATAGAAGATTGGGCGTCTTTTGTAGAGAATCATGTTCTGATGTAAATTCTCTATTTTTTGGTATACTTCCTGTATACGGGAGTTCTCTCCTTTTTGATCAATACAATTTACCTTATCAAAAAAATATGCGATGTTGCAACTTGTCATCAATTTACATCCAAATTTGTTCCTTCCTTTTTTTATTGGAAGTGTGAACTAGATTCCCACCACCATTATAAAGCAACTAAGTAGCGGGAAGTTGTAACTTAGGCGATGTAGAACTATCTCAATTTGTTTTTTTGTTAGTTTATTTCACATCTTTTATTCTTGATCCCGGAATTTTGATCCTTACTTTTCTCTACATTGTATTTTCAATTACTTTCCCCATATCTTCAACTTTTGATCTCGCATCTTAATCCTTAATTTTTCTTCAGAACATTATATTTTTTTACTGGGTGTGTTGTTGTTGTAACATTATATTCTTTTAAATACGTAGTCCTGTAATTTTTTGTTGTATTTTAGATGCTTTCTTATTACTATTTTCAGAATCCCAATTGTCAAAGCAACAAATTTCCTTGTCCTCTCGTGTACTGATCTGGGAATCAGTTCTCTTTCTATTAATTAAAAAGTTCAGTATATGCATCAGGTACCATAGGTTATAAGTTTGAGTGGCCCTTTTAGTTTCAAGCATCGGGGTTTGGCTGTATTATGGAAGGGAGAGTCGTGCCAACATCTGCAACATTCAGCATTGTCTGATGTCTTCCATTGATAGTGATGCAAGAATAGCTTGCATAATCTGCTTTCAGTGTTTGTATGCAATGCCATTTTTTCTTGGCTTCTATATAAGATCGAGCATTTGTTCCTAGAGGTGGCTTTAACAGATAATCAAAGAGATTGGAAGTAATTGCGTAGTTGAATTTGTTTCTCTCTTTATTTTGAGGTCATGATGTTACAACTTACAAGGATGAAAATTAGTAATATTTTGATGTGATAAATTTTGTTGGTTTGGAGGAACCATTTAAGATGTTTATCATCTATAGAAAGAAAGGAATCAGAGATGTTTTGAGGATAACCATAGTTCAATACAAAAACTGAAGATGAGCTGTTTAATGCTCTTTTATTTTTGGTGTAAACAAGAATATCTAGAAGAGAGTGAGTTAAGGGAGCTCGATTAGAGGGGTGGGTAGAAGAGGGATAGTATTTCTTATGGAACTTAAGATTCTTTCATGGAATGTGAGGGGGATGAATGACCCAAACAAAAGGGCTATCATCAAAGTGAGAGTTAGAGAGTGGGGTGCTAACCTAGTTTGCTTTCAGGAGACAAAAATGAAAGTTTTGTCGGATATGATTGTGAGGAGTGTCTGGGGAGGTAGTTGGGTAAAATATGACTGGGTTCCAGTAGCGGGAAGTGCCGGGGGCATTCTTCTAATGTGGGATGATAGAAACTTGGAGGTAAAGGAGATTAAGAAGGGAGTTTTTTCTTTAGCAGCTCTTGTCAAAGATAGAGTAAGTGGGGTGGAGTGGAGATTTGGGGGAGTGTACGGACCGGTAGGAGAAGGGTCCAAGGTATTTTTCTGGGAAGAATTGACCAATATGATGGGGGAATGGGACATTCCATGGATTCTCGGGGGAGACTTTAACACTATTAGATTCCCGGAGGAGAGATTAGGGTGTAGTCCGATTTCGAGGGCCATGGAGGAATTTTCTGAATTCATCAATGATCACTTTCTCATTGATCTTCCTTTGTCAGGGGAAAGGTTTACTTGGGCCAGGGCGGAGGATTCCAACTCAAGGTCTAGACTTGATAGATTTCTGATATCGCCCTCTTGGGATGATCTGCAGCCGAATGTGCTGCAGATTCCTTTACCTAGGCTGACTTCGGATCATTTGCCTATCTTGCTAGATGGATGCAGAGGGAGGGGGGTGCGTGCTCCCTTCCGATTCGAGAACATGTGGTTGAAAGTGCCAGGATTTGGTGACAAGGTGAAAGAATGGTGGACAAGCTACGGGGTATCAGGGACACCTTCATTCCGTCTTTCGAAGAAACTTAAATTGCTCAAATGAGATATTATTAGATAGAATAAAGAGGTTTTTGGGAGGGTAGAGGTTAAAATGAGGGAGCTTATGCATGAATTGGGGGAACTGGAGAGAGGGGAAGGGGCGAGAGAGTTAGATGAATATGAGAAAGAGAGATTGGGGGAGGTTAAGAGGGAAACAGTCGAGTTAGCAATAGCTTAGTAGACTAGTTGGCGGCAAAAATCGAGGGCGCTATGGTTAAAGGAAGGGGATTCAAATACCAAGTTTTTCTATAGGGTGGCGGTTGCAAATCGAAGGAGAAACTTCATAGAGTCCCTTATTTGTGGATAGGGTGAGGATTGAGGGAGAGGAGGGGATAAAAGAGGCGATAGTGGGGTTTTATGAGAACTTATACAAAGAGGAAGTTGGGGGAACAGAGTTCAACCACATAGGGGAGGGAGACAGTGAGTGGCTAGAAAGGGCTTTCGAGGAGGAGGAGGTGCACGAGGCTGTGTCGAGTTGTGCTGGTGATAAGGCCCCCGGGCCTGATGGTTTCTCCTTGGTCTTCTTCTAGCTCTGTTGGGACTCCATCAAGGGGGAGTTGATGGAAGCCATTGAATACTTCCATGTGAATGGTGTTTTCGAGAGAAGTATCAATGCTTCTTTATTACTATTGTGCCTAAGAAAGAAGGTGCATCTTGTATCAGAGACTACATGCCTATTAGTCTCGTGGGGAGCATTTACAAGATTATTTCTAAAGTGCTTTCCAACAGACTCAAGAAGGTTCTTGACGTGTCCGTTTGGTCCTCCTAGAATGCGTTTGTGGAAGGTAGGCAGATCTTGAATGCTGCTTTGGTGGCAAATGAACTTGTAGACTCCAGAAGGAAAAATACAGAACCCGGCTTACTATGCAAGTTGTACCTTGAGAAGGCTTTCGATCAGTTCAATTAAGAGTTCCTGGATTTCATTATGATGCGGATGGGGTTTGGGGCAAGATGGAGGGGATGGATCAAGTTCTGCATTTCCTCAGTCAGATTCTCTGTCATGGTTAATGGTAGCCCGTGTGGTTTCTTTGGCAGCTCCAGGGGTCTCAAGCAAGGAGACCCCCTATCCCCCATGCTATTCATTCTAGTGATGGATGCTCCGAGTAAAATGATGGATCGTGCGGCGGGAGGAGGCTTCTTGAGAGGATTCTCAGCTCCGGTCGGAGTGCCCAGTGCCCGAAGAGTCTCTCATTTGCTTTTTGCGGATGACACCCTGGTTTTCTGTGATGCCGATATGGATCAAGTTGACTTACCTGAAGCAGGTCCTGCAGTGGTTTCAGATAGTATCAGGTTTCAAAATCAACCTCGGCAAGTGTGAGATTTTCCCGGTGGGTGAGGTTGCTAACATTGATGCTTTGTGTTATGTTCTCAGATGTAAGGTAGGGTCCCTTTCTACTACTTACCTGGGTCTCCCATTGAGCGTTTCGCATAAGGATACTACGGTTTGGAATCTATTTATCGAAAGGGCTGAAAAAGGATTAGCTTGCTGGCAGAAACGATACTTGTCAAAAGGCGGAAAGGAAGTGCTTTTCAAAAGCACTTTATCGAGTATGCCCACCTATTACCTGTCCCTGTTGCAAGCTCCTGTGAGCATCACAAAAAAACTGGAGCGGCTTCGAAGGAATTTTCTTTGGGATGCGGCGGATGGAACTAGAAAGTATCATCTAGTGAATTGGCAGGCAGTCACTTCCCCAAAGAAGTGGAGTGGACTTGGAGTAAAAGATCTTAGGGTATTCAACAGAGCTTTGTTGGGGTAATGGCGGTGGAGATTCGGTGTAGAAGAGCATGCTCTATGGAAGGAGGTCATAGTAGAAAAGTACGATTCCACGGGAGGGGGTTGGAGGACCAAGGCAATCACTTTTCGGGTGGCATGTGGATGAGTATCATGAAGAATTGGGAATCCTTCAGTGGCAACATCACTTACAGGGTGGGAGATGGAAGGAGAATCAGCTTTTGGAATCATAAGTGGTGTGGAGAGGATACTTTGAGAGTCTCCTTCACCACGTCTTCAGAGTTTCAAACCAGAAGGAATTGATGGTCCAACAAATTCGTAAGGAGCATGAAGGGGTGGGGGGTTAGTATGAGACCTCTCATTTAGAAGGAACATGCAAGATTAGGAGATTGCAGAGCTCCAAGATTTATTGACACTGCTATATAGGCACGACAGGCCACAACCATCTTGTGATTCTTGGAGATGGGGTTTGCGTGGCGATGATTTGTTCACCATAAAGTCCTTTTACCAGAGTATGTTGGTGAGAGAAGAGGACTCTTTTCCATACTCCTCGATCTGGATTCCTAAGGCGCCCACTAAGGTGTGCTTTTTTGTATGGCTAGCAGTGAGAGGAGTAATTTTGACTGCTGAGAATCTGCAAAAGAGGGGAATTACACTTGAGTTGGTGCTATATGTGTAAAAGCTTAGGGGAAGAAGTTGATCATCTTTTGTTGCATTACCCTTTGTCCTCGGTTTTGTGGAGGGCGATCCTGAACCTTTTTGGTGTTCAATGGGCGATGCCAAGCACCGTAAAGGAAATGATATATAGCTGGGCAGGTTTCCGTAGAAGAAGAAAGCAAAAGGCGTGGAAGTTCGCCCATTAGCTCTCATGTGGATAGTTTGGGGGGAGAGAAATAGGAGAGCTTTTGAGGGGATTGAGTCTACTTTTTCACATCTTAAGAATAGTCTTTTATCTTTGATCGCTTTTTGGTGCACTCATATAGCCCCTGCTTGTATAGAAGATTGAGCGTCTTTTGTGGAGAATCATGTTCTGATGTAAATTCTCTACTTTTTGGTATACTTCCTGTATACGGGAGTTCTCTCCCTTTTGATTAATACAATTTACCTTATCAATTTTTTTTTTTTTGATGTCTTAGATCAATTGTGAGTCTTATAGAATCTTAGGCCTCTCTTCTGGTTTCCCCATTGTAATTATCAGAAGGTTACACTATTAGTGTAACCATTTTCATATTCAATACAAACATATTACCTTTTCAAAAAAATAAAAACATTGGGTTTAAAACTCATCATGGAGGAAATTTAGCGAAATACCGACGTGATAGTAAAAGTACGCAAAAACTTTTAATGCCATAAAGGGTACATTAGGGATGTGGATATCGTGGTAATTAAATCAAATGTGCAAAACCTAGCTTTATAAACATCATTCTGTGATCCAATTCGATGTCCAATAATAATGATATGACAAGGATTGGTTCCTGCCCATCTCATTTAACTGTATGTTCTTGATTCATCTACCACAAAAATCTTTAGACATGGGATTCTAAAAATGATTTTAAGAGAAGTGTAAGACTAGATGCCTTTGTTCTAAAGAAGGCAGGTGTACTCTAAACACTATTTCAAGTGATTTTAGTAGGTTACAGCAAGGGTTAATTGCTTTAAAAACATTTATGCTTGGGACCCTAGCCTAGAAAAAGGAAATGATTCATTCACTCTCCTTAAAGCTAAAGAATACTTATGTGCCACTACAAAGCCAAAATCATGAGGGATCCAGAAATGTAGATTTTGCCCCTATATTGCTTTGTTTCCTGCGTGGGGTTATTCTGGGAACCGGGTTATTATGGGAACCTCAGGACCTTGCTTCTCATGCCTTCATGAATGAAGGAGGCAAAACTGAGTTAGCAGGCTTAGAGTTTCAATCCAGCGCGTTTCGAAGTATAGGCCTTCCAATAGGAAATATGGGGTCCCTTTTGCTTTAAGAGAAGTCGAGATGCCTACAGGAAATGGTGGTAACAATGAGTATCTGCTAGTGAAAGTTGCATTGTAAAACTGAAATTGTTGTTCTATCAGGGCTAATCTAAACATCTGGAGAAATAGATGTTACTGTCATGTTCCATATGTTCAGTATTACACTGATAGGTGTACCATTGAGTTTGTGCTCAATTAGGCCATAAACTAGATCGTATTTGTCATTCACATTAACAAAAGGCTACTTCAGTTTCCATCTTTTCATGCATCTCCTGGCTTAATATCCTTGCAGTTGAGGCACTTTCCTTGAAGGATTCTGCTATATGGAAGACTGATGGAAAAACATTCGAGACATGGATTTGTCCTCTTGTCTGTGCTCTGGTTGAATATTGTGATGATATGATCCTGAGGTTATTTCTTCCCAGAGCATCCCTCCCTTTATTTAGGATTATCAGCTTTTTTGCTTTTGTTTATGCTGCTTTAGTAAGCTCATGGTCCTTTCAGATTGTGTCAAGATATTGTCTTGGTGAAATCTGAAGTTGCAGAACTCTTGTTCCCTCATGTGATGGTCAATTTGTCGAGTAGAAGAGACGTGGATGTTGATCTTTGTCAACTGATCTCCTCACAGGTTATTGTTACAGTTTCTTGTTCCATCTTGATTATCCTTGGCTTCCACTTATTTTAACGATTTTCACCATCTTGTGATGTGGCATGAGCATATAAAAGAAAGCAAATTAATTACTTCTGTTCAGTCAATTAACATAGAACATGTTTTGTTATGATTAACTTTTAAGTTTATGTTGTTCCATGGTTATTCTATTCATTTAGGTGTCTAAGCCATTTAACTGTTTGGGTGATTAACATGATTAGGTCTTATGTTACTGTGTACAGTCTTTCTTGTTCAATTAATTAGCAGTTTAGACTGGTTTTAATTAGTCATGAAACTCACTGAAGTATGCATACCTGCATATTCAATATGTATACACAGGATTCTTGCGACGGTCCGCCTTTGACCTTTGTTCTTGCAAAGTCTCCATTTCCATTATTTTCCTACATCATCCTATATTGGTTAAAGCATCAAGATATCTGTATATGCCCTTGTTTTCCACTTCTAATATAATCCAATCTATTTGATTAAATGAATCAATTATGCCTTTCCTATCTCTATTTAAATTGTTCAGAATTAGAAGATTCAATTGCATACTTCATTAGTCAGTTCATCACACATGAATATACTAAATGGATAGATAAAGGACGGGAATTGTAGATCATAGTAGGTCAAGAACATCAAAATAGTCAATGCTTTATAATGAAAAACATCTACCATTAGGATCTAATTTCAAAGAGATGAAACAATATGTATGAAAGTATGTAGTTCCCTTTTTCATAACCTGTGCTTACAAGCTATATATTTCTCTTTCTTTATTGCAATTAATATTATTTCAAGTTTTCCCATTTGCATGTGATATATTGAATTCACGTGTATCTAAAGCTATTGGTAAACATTGTAAATAAGTGCCTTTTTTTGGTGAACCAATCTGGAGTTCTTTGGACGAAATGTTTTAACATGCTTGTGGAAGTCAGTTCCAATAGGGTACTATTTCATCTTTCTATTGAGAACAAAATATCAATACTCTTTGCTTTTGTATGTAGGTGCAAGAGAACATTTTTACGGAGGACAATAAGTTGACCAAATCAATTCAAGTTATCTTAGATGCTCTTAACGAGCTTCGGTTGTGTCACGTGATGGAAAGAAGCACATCCTCTAATCCCTCTAAGCGAGAAAATGCAAAGGTTTAAATGATATGCATTCACAGATACTTCTTCATAGAGTGATACCTAATTTACTAATTTGCGGAATTTGTTCTTAAATTTCCTCTGTTGATTTTGTTTTAAAAAAAATTAAGTTCACTCAGTAGAGATGATATGAGTAACATAACAATTTCAGCAATATGGAAGGCCTTCTAGCTATGGATCAAAGTCACGCTCCACGCCTCTGAAGGCAAAGCATCAGACAACCACTTCATCTGTAGTATCAATATCCACATTGTCTTGGGAAAAGGTAAATAAATCCTAACATGTATTCTTCTGTAGCAACAACTCCTTCATCCTGTACATAAAACGTAGTTGTTGACTCTGCATAGTTGATTATCATTTGATAGTGTTTCTGATCTCTATTATGTTGTAGTGCAGTTGAACACTGCCATAGATTAGTATTCCCTGTTATTTATTGTTTGGCTGCTTGCTGACCAATTTTATCTGTTTTCTTGCTTTAATTGTTCTTTTCCAGTAACCCTTTGGGGTGGGACGGACCTTGCGGCTTCTGTTGGTTGTTCACCTGTTAAATCTTCAGTTACTTTTATGCTTGTGTGACCAGTTAATTCTTAAGTTTTGTGGTCTGTCTTTGGGCCTTATATTGCTCCTGATTTCCAGTCGTTATACCTGATCAACTTTCACACGTTCTAATTTAGGAGCTAAGCGTAGTTCTTGAACTGGCTTTTGCACCAATTATGAAAGCCAGGATCACCTGCTGGCTAATTTAACCAGATTGAAGGCTTAGATGGTTTTGGTGCAAGTATCATCATGACCGGAGCCCATTGGAAACCTGGTTTCACTTCCACTGAACTATTTCACCTGGTATTATCAAGGGGTTTCTGGTCAAATTTTGATTCTGAAGTTGTTGAAACATCTTTGCTAAATAATTATCCTCGTTCAAAAGTGTACATGTCAAGTTATTTTACCGAAGGATCCAAATCTTATTGACCATGCTGAGGGATTAGTATCCCATTTGTATAATTCCGTTCAGAGGATATGTGAAACACTTTCACATTTCAAAGATGTTGTAAGCTAGATTTTTTTAGAATTCCAAACTTGATGTCTTTCTCTTGGCCTCTAGTGTTCTGGAAGTTAGATTGAATTATTGAGAGAACAGTTTATGACCCAAGTTCTCTACTTAGGGTTACGGACTCATGCCCTTTCCATCTCCTGTTGTTTTACTAGGTTTATTGGATTTCTATGGATTATCTTGCTGTTGCAAGGTCTGCTATTGTGAGTGCCAAACTTTTATTCATGCTCTTCCATTTCCTTTTTCTCTTTGATGTTCTTACCTTTCTTACCTTGGCTCTCTCTCTCTCTCTCTCTTTCTCTCCTTGATGCCAAAATTGACAGACTTCTGGTGCTTACTTTACTGCTGTTCTTTACGTGGAACACTGGTGTGAAGAGAATTTCAATTCCCTGACATTGGGCCCTCCAGATTTCTCTCATGTTGAGATTGTGAGTTCATATGTGCATTTAATTGTTGGTCATCAGTTATCATTTGTTAGAGTCTCCTATTTGTTAACACTCCCGTTGCGGTCACTTAGCATATCGAAAGTAATGATTTTTGCTATGAAGCTATCCTATATTTTGAAGGCATACTTTCTTTGATGTTGCAGCTGCCATGGCACATTGAAATTCTTTTATCTGCAGTGACACAAATAAATGAACCTGACAGCCTCTATGGAATCATCCAATCTCACAAGGTCAGTGAACATAAACGCCAATCTCTGCTGCTTATTACATTTTTATTATCTACTCTGACTCTCATTTTAAAATTGTCTCTTGCCTGCTATATATACATGCCAAGAAATTAAGAACATAAATCTAGTTACCCAAACAAGATGTCCAAATAAGATCATCCATGCCCAAACCAATAAACTATTCATACCAAAGGGTTATATATCCATTGATAACTTGTGAAGAGTTTAACCACAAATAATCCCTTAACCAGCCCATCAAATAAGTGTATGATTCATTAAACTGTGAAACTTTACCCTGCCATAACGTGATGTGCTTCCAATGCCAATAAAAAGTAACCCATAGTATCTAACATCCAAAAAATGCCAAATAAATGCGCCCAAGCCGAAATATCACAAGTACCGCCTTATGGTTTAATCTTAGCTATGGCTCTTGAATTTATTGCTTCTGTGATAGCCTCTTGTGGTAATCCAAAAAAGGAAAAGAGGGAGAAAAAGAGTATAAGTGGTAGACTTGGAAGACAGGAGAATAAAACGTGAAAGAATATGCAGTGAGTGGAAGATTGTTGCTTCCTAAACCTCATGTTGGAAATCGGTGTTCGCTTCGTCGCTTAAAGCGATGAATGGATGAAGCTATGTGAAATGAAGGGTTATAACTTCATGAGTGAAGCCATGCACTTCAGGGAGGTTTTTGCTTGAAATAATGATGCCCAAAGTGATTTCAATGAGAAACGATCGGTTCTTTGAATCTCAACTTTAAGAAGTTGGATTAATATTGACTTTTTTGTATATTGGATGCTGAAATTAGTTTGTTAATTGCAATTTGATTATTATGGTTCTAAATTCTAATGTTTTTGAATTTCATAAGTTGTGCACTTCGTTTCTCTCTTTTTGCTTCAAAGTGATTTCAGTGAGTGGAAGTTGTGCACTTTTCGCTTGTAAGAATAATGAGAACTTGGCTTTCTTTTGCATCAAGACTACATTATTCCCTGTCATAAACCCTTTGACCTTACTTCAGCAATTTGAGAAGCTACTAATTTTTTTAGTAGGGATTCTAGCTTCGCACGTTCAAGTGTCCTTGGACCAAATCATGGTATTTTTCTAACTGATCTTCTACGAGATTGAAGTATATACAGAAGTTTCTCTCAACAGTCGAAATCAAAGTAGTTTCACCAGAGCTTTCTAATTGTTTCGAAGTATATTTTTGATTGACGTTGCAATAATAGAAGTCTTCTAGTGTCTTTTGATTGACGTTGGAATTATAAAATGTTCTAGATCCACCCATCTATTTTATCCAATTTAGTATTTTATTTCGAGAAAAGAACTGATTATTCCACTTCCCATTTACCCTGTTCTTCAATCCGTTGTAACAAACGTATTGAGGGTGTACAGAAGAAATAAAAAGGATGAGATTCGAAGAGAAACTAGACCAACACTCAAAAAGCATCTGAAAGCTGAACGATTCGCACAGGAAAAAGAAGTTTATCTGAATATATTTTCCAAACAATGATAATAAATAGTTTAAGAATAAAGGTGATCAATTGTCAGGACTTCAGAGTGATTTTTAGCATCTGTTGAACATTAAAAATTGTTCTAACCTTATATCAAGTTCGTACTTACCTTTCATCAGAACTGACAAATCAGATCAAAGTTTAGAGAACTAGTCTGTTTGATAATAATAATAATAATGGGATTATTCATGCTGATACCTAACAAATTTTTACATAAGAAGCATAGTAGTGTTTCAATCCAGATCTTGAAAAATCTGAATGAGCTAACATGCTATTACTTTTATGTATTGAGATTTTACGTTGTTTTATTGTAATTATCTGGAATCTAAAAAAGAAGTTGACTTTCATTGTACAAAGAAGACACCAAAATACTGTATTAATATGATTCATTTAAGTTCACAGTTTAACTATTGATTTGAATTCTTCAAAGTAATGAAATAAAATTTTCGATAAGCAAACTCATCGAAATCAAGAAATTATATTTAGATTGATTCTATATAAGTTGACTAAATAACATTCAACTTATGTAATTCTTGGTCTCAATTCATATTGCAATCCCTTAAGTTTTCTAGATGAAATGGACATACTTTGTAAACAATATAAAAGTACGATTATGTCACAATATTCTTATTAAAATATTGTAGTCAAAGAATGAACATTTTGATTGCACAAATAGTAATATTGTCATACAATGAGACGTCGAAAGTACCAAGTAAACCATAAAAAGAGTACAAATAGATACTATACTCTTATTTTCTTATAAAAGAGCAGAAGGACACGAGTGATTCATATAGCTCGTCTCAACTAAGTTTAGCTTTAGACATTGTTGATTGTTCTAGAGAAAGACGTACTCTCTTTCCTGGAATTTTGTGTATAATTGTTTTAAATTATCATATGAAGAATTATATTGTGATTATTAGCATAGAAATTTTAAAAGCCTAAATGTCCATGACATTATTTTTTTCATTAAACTAATATCAATAGAAGGTGAATAAGGTAAACTCGATGATAAAAAAAACTTTGAAACACGCTTTCCCTCAAAATGGCTGGAGAAGGGCTGGGATCAGCAAAGCTTTCTTCAAAATATGGAACTCTATACATATAACAGTCTGGTGGGTCATATGCAGAGAAAGGAACTCCAGAATTAGACGAGAAAAAGGATTCTACATTTGGTCTTAAGTTAAAATCTATACTTTTACTTTTCTTTTAGAACATAGCTGTTGTAAATGATCCTGAAGCCATGGCTTACTTCATCAACTCATTGCATAACCTGTGAAGAATTACAGTTAGGTTGATATTTTAGATGTCACTACCAGCACTCTCTTTATGCTGTTTTTACTCAATATAATTACCTTCTCAAGAAAAAGAAAAAAAGAAGAGAAAAAGCACTCTTTTACTTGCTTTTGGATATTTCTATTTGTTCTAATACAATGTCCTTATTTAACATTTGGTAGAAGTAATAATTTGTTTTCCTTTACTACCATGTGCAATACTCATGCCCATCAAATTGACACTCAATTAACAGTAGGGCGTTCAATATAAGATGGGATAATAATCATGGTATTCTTCTTTTTGCAAAACATTCACAACCTAAACACTAGTTTAGCCATACTTTGGGAAGCCTGTCATATTCCCTGCTCTTTTCTTATGCTATTGCCCACGGAATTGTTGAATTTTGAAAATTTACCATTTGTGACCACCTCTTTGTCCGTTGCTTTCAATTCTGCTCTTTGCAGTTGACCTCTCAAATTATCACATTTGAACATGAGGGAAATTGGAGTAAAGCTCTTGAGTACTATGATTTACAAATTAGATCTGATCCAGTGGCTCAAGGAAGCAGTTGTACTCCTAAAAATTTTCTTCATTCATCTGGGTCCGCAGTAGATCAGATGATTNCCGATCAGAGACAATTTTTTCCGGCGAGATCTACTCCACGCGCCGGGCCGTGGAGCCCTTTCCGGCCACTTTTTGAAAAGCTTTCTCCATAACAGTTGGACCGCCTTTTAATTCCGAGACTACCCGTAATTTTCTTTTTTAATTTCGAGCACTTTGAAAATTTTCCGGCAATTACAGTAGTTTTCCAGCGGCTACAAGATTTTTCCGGCAACTAAAGTTGATTCGTTGATTTATTTGGTGCTAATTTGCCTTTGGCAGTTGATGTTTTTGGGTCTAAAAACACTGGTTCTGGAAGTTTATTATGATTACCTCGGAACCTTTAATGGGAAGTTCAAACTACTTAGCTTGGGCTTCTTCTGTCGAGTTGTGGTTAAAGGTCAAGGTGTTCAAGATCATTTAAAAAAAGGCTAGCGAAGGAGATGAAAAGGCCAAAGCACTTTGGGAGAAAGTCGAAGCTCAGTTATGTAGTATCTTGTGGCGATCTATTGATTTCAAGTTGATGCCCTTGTTCCGTCCATTCCGGACATGTTAGTTAGTTTGGTAAAAGCTCGTACTTTATACACTAATGACATATCTCGTTTCTATGATGTGATATTGCGAATGACAAGCTTGAAGAAACAAGAATTGGATATGTCTACTTACTTGGAACAAGTACATGCATTCATGGAAGAATTTGAGAAGTTGATGTCAGTTTCTGCTAGTATTGAAAAGCAATAAGAGCAACGACAGAAGATGTTTCTAGTTCTTACACTTGCTGAACTTCCTAATGACCTTGATTTAGTACGTGACCAGATTTTAGCTAGTCCGACTGTCCCTACAGTTGATGAATTATTCTCTCGATTACTTCGCCTTGCTGCAGCACCAAGTCACCTAGTGATCTCACAATGGAAGTATATGCCTTAGACATTCTTGAGGAGATTGGAAGGACGTGCTATAGACTTGTTGACACTCTGACGAATCTGAATTCTAAATTTCTGCCAGGACAGGGGGAGCCGCTTAGCGATCCTGCAAGATGTAGGCGGCTGGTTGGTAAATTAAATTATCTCACAGTGACTAGACCTGACATTTTCTTTCCTGTGAGTGTTGTAAGTCAGTTTATGGATTCTCCCTATAGGCATTAGGATGTAGTTGTCCACATTCTTCGATTTATAAAATCGGCTCCAGGTAAAGGGTTTATGTTTGAGGATAGAAGCCACTAGCAGATCGTTGGATACTCAGATGTTGATTGGGCAGGATCACCTTCTGATAGACGTTCTACCTCTGGATATTGTGTTTTAGTAGGAGGCAATATGATGTCTTGGAAGAGCAAGAAACAGAATGTAGTTGCTCCGTCTAGTGCAGAAGCAGAATATCGAGCAATGACTATGGCAACATGTGAGCTAGTTTGGATCAAACAATTGCTAAGGAGTTGAAATTTGGTGAAATAAGCCAGTTCGAACTTGTGTGCGATAATCAAGCTGCCCTTCATTTTACATCAAATCCGGTGTTCCATGGGAGAACTAAACACATTGAGATTGACTAGAGATATTGTTACAAAGTTTGTGAAGTCGAGTGATCAGCTTGCAGATATTTTCACCAAGTCCCTCACTGGTCCTCGTATTAGTTATATATGTAACAAGCTCGGTACATATGATTTGCATGCACAGGCTTGAGGGGGAGTGTTAGTTGTTATGTAAATAAGCATAGTCCTACATGGAATAAGAGTAGTGTAGGTATTGTATATTGTTATGAATAGGGGTACTTGTATCATAGTTAACGTTCGTCAATAATATAATTTTCCCGTGTCATATTTCTCACACATACTAACTCTTGCATTTCTTTTTTTAGAGAAGGACCTAATTTGTATCTTTTATAAATTCTATTTTATACCATGAAGAAGGATGGAGAAAACTAGGTAATAGTGCCCCATTAGTGTACAATAGTGTGATAGCAGCAACCAATTTATCGTCTTACTGCCTGATGTCTGTCTGGCTCATAAGCTTAGGTAATAGTGCCCCATTGGTGTGCAAAACCATGATACTAACGACCAAACTTAAACAGTTTGTCTTTCAAATCAGCTTGCTGTCTGATTATGTGTCGGACTTATGCAGTGCCATACATAAGATGACTCAAATGCTCAGCTGAAAAGCAGTTTTCCATGGGGTCATGTCCTGCGTCGACCTACAGATGCCCCGGTCTGTAGGAGTGAAATTATGGTAGGGGAAGGTGTTAAGAGGGGACAAAATAGACCTAAAATCACATAGAAGGAAGTTGTCTCGAAAAAACCTACAAATCCTTGGAATTAATGCAGACTTAGCTAAAGATAGGGAATAATGAAAGAGAAAAATCCATATATGTGATACCTAGTAGTTGGAAATAGGTTTTAGACGTGGTAGAGAACTTTAATACTATTATCAAATATATTATTATCTCTATATATAGTTAGCTTGTTTTTTACTTTCACTTTTATTTTATTTTGATAAAATGATGATGATACGAGTTGAGCTTAAAGAAAGAAATGAGGATTCATATCGCCGACCTCAACTTGTTTGGGACTGAGGCATAGTTGTTATTGTTGTTGTTCTTTCCCTGTCTCCATTTGCATGCTGCACTCAGTGGACCGAAACATGTCTACCACTGCTTCTACCAGCGTTCTTTACATGCTTCATGTTATGGATTGGTTTCTCATCAAGTGTTGCTTGTGCTATTTGTAGTATGAAGCTGCTTGGCGTTCTGGAAATTGGGATTTCTCACTACTTTATGGTGAATCCAGTGTCCTCTCAATTCAGCATGGAGGTGACCATTTCAATGAAAATCTCCACAGGTATGGTCAGGTCTTGCATTTATTGAAGTTCTAAATTGGTATTTGCCATGTTATCAACTTTGACATAGCAAGAAAATACATAATGTTAAAAGGAACTATTACCAAGTTTCTAGGATTTTTTTAAAAGCTTTTTTGGGATCGCTTTCAGGGTACTGTTGAAGCTAGTTGATTCATGCGGTCTGTTTTGTTCATTTGATTGTGGTGCATGAAGTGTTATATCTTGATTACACCCTGTACGGAGGTATACAAATGGCAATATTGATATTAACTATGTGGCGCTCAAATGAAACGGTACGCCTTTAAATGAAGCGTAGCACAGTAGTTAGCAATAATAAACCCAATAAAGGTTGGGGTTGAATCACGCAAGGAGTAGGTGTGTGCTAAAATGTCCAAATGCGTGTAAACTTGGTGATTCTTAAAGTAATCTTCAAACAAAAGAGTGGTGATTCAATTACTTCTTAATTTACTTCTAAAATTACTACTAAACTAGGCTAGGAATTTTATCGGACACGTAGTACGCAAGTAAAGATCTAGTTGTGACTATTAAAGAAAGGCATTAGGATTGCTCCCTCTTTGCGTGGGTTATGTTTTGGGTATATGAGTATTTAGTTCTATTTAACCAAGCTTGTATTATGGCCTAATATACTATTTCACCAACATAATGTCTTCCGACACTAAGAGGTTTTTACCACAAGTTGCTCTTCCAAGTCAACTAAGGTTCAATTATACATAATTTGATTAGCCCAAGTAGAAATCACACTATTCCTAGTTAGATGTCATTAAGTGATTAACTCACCTAATTCCTTGCTAATTGCTTTATACCTAAGATAAATTCCACTCTTCCAAGTTAGAACAAGCAAAATAGGCATGGATTTAGTGTTTGCAACCACAAAATCAATCAATAAAGCATAGAGCAATTGGATAATACAAAGCTTAATCAAATTTGGAACTTGTATTAATCACCCAATACCCCACTTAGGGCTCACAATCCTAGCTTAAAAAAACTCAGCTAGACATAGATGAAAAAGAAAATACAAAGTAAAATGAAAATCTAAACATGTAGCTAAAAGAGGGAAGAAAGATTGTGCAGAGAATGATGAAGCTTCTTTAAATTAGCTAAGAAGAGCTCCATAGGCTGCTACACCAATCTTCCTTGCCAACAGATGCCCTAGAATGACTTAAAATATCTTTCTCAAAAGTGGACAAAATTGCCCTTCGGACAATTGCGTAGGCTTGCTGCATTGGTGTAGGCTACCTGCGTAGCCTACGCAAGCTTCGAACTCTTCAGATTTATCTTATGCGTAGGATATCTGCGTTGCGTAGGCTAAAACAGAATGCTCCAAAAATCAATCTTTTCAGGTTCTTCGTTTGTGTAGCCTTCGTAGCCTTGCGTAGGCAGGACTATGTAGAGTTTTCAGCTCAAACTTCAGCTTTTCTTCCATTTTTAACTTGGACTTGGTCTTCTTTTGCCATAATTTTGATTCTTTTCATTCTTTAAGCTCACCCAAAGCTTCATTAGCTGAAAATGAGCCATTCAAAACATAATTTGTCCATCTATTCCAACAAATGGGGCATAAAACTCTATAAAAGCACAAGAGAAGTTAGCTAAAAAGCTAACTTATCAACGGCAGCAAAGAAAATAACCAGTGTAAATTGCCTCTGGTTCAACTTATCCGGAAAAAAAGCCTCTGTTTTTAATCCTCGCAGAAATGATACACAAATACAGGACCTAACTAAACTGCTGAAATGGATTCAGCTCCTAGCGCTTCTCTCTCTTCAAGTTCACCTGAAAGTGCAGTTACGATGAGTTGCTAAATTTTTATCCCCTCCCTTCTCTCATGTAATGATCCGTATCCCTTTCAAAATCTATCTAAAGTGTAGGAACAGGTGATTTGTGCTCTTTTAGCACTCCAGAACATTGACCAACAGTTGGCATATGTCCGCTTCCTTCAAATAGCACTCCAGAACATTGACCAACAGTTGGCATATGTCCGCTTCCTTCCTTCTGGTTGACACTGTTAAGATTACCTTCCATGCTACCGCCCTCGTGCAAAAAGCAAATGGGCCTCCAGGTTTTCATACCATATTCATTTTGTCAAATTGAATGTCCTCTGTACAACATTCCTTGAAGTTTACCCTTTCTACGGATACCTGCTCTGGGCATTCAGAATCACAGAGCCTCCAATACCCTGTGATTCGTGACTTCTGTGGTGTTACTTGACTTTTTACTGTTCCATTCTGAAATAATGAATATTTTCTAGAGCGTTAATTTTTTTTTTTTATTGGAAGAAATCTCTGGGGATTTGTACATTGCTGGTAAAATCATATCCGTGTGATGTTATACTTTGTCAGTTCTCCTTAGAGCATCTGAGCTTTGTTCATACCAATTTTTTCCTGCCTCATAGGTAGTAACTTGTAATTCCATCATAACTCCCATCTCTGGGAAAAATAAGAAATAAAAGTTCAAAAAACGGTTATCCATCTACTGATATATCTGCCAAGCTTTAAATGGTACATACAACAACAACAAACCCAGTAATAATCCCACAAATGGGGTTTGGGGAGGGTAGTGTGTACGGAGACCTTACCCCTACCTTGTAAAGGTAGAGAGGCTGTTTCCGATAGACCTTCAGCTCAAGGAACAATGACAACGAATAAATGGTACATTAGTTTGATAATATTATTTCCTTGCGCACGTTACTTGTATGATTTCTGCTGCATTCTCTCACAGTAGTTAATACTTATATTACATGTAAATAGTGCTCTCTACCTGTTGGCCTTGTCCTCACTGTGTTGTGCCTGTTGTAATTCAGCTGCTTGAGAGCATTAAAAGAGGGAGGATTTGATGAATTCCAGATAAAATTAAAAGATTCCAAGCAGGTATAGAAGTCCTACGTCATAGTTACCTTTTCATAGTTGTGTTTGGACATTTACACCTTGTAGCTGCTTTTCGATCTCTTTAGGAGCTTTTGCTGTCTATCTGTCATGCAAGTGCGGAGAGCACCAAATACATTTATCAAGCTATAGTTAAGCTTCAGGTATCCTGATCTCTCGGCTGGCAATTTGTGTTTTTTCATTTGCATGTATTACATTGTGTCCTTGTGGTCTGGTCCTTCCCCGGACCCTGCGCATAACGGGAGTTTAGTGCACCGGGTTGCCCTTTTTTTTTTTTTTTTTTTTTTTTTTTTTTTTTTTTTTTTTTTTT